AGCAGCAGCTCAAACATATACTGCGTTATGGGATTTCTATTCGCATGAATGACGCTCTATAAAAAAAATACTGCATGTGATAGCCACAGATATTATGAGCTGTTTATTGAAGAGTCATAATGTCTTGTTTTTTCATTTCCAAGTTGAGTGTAATCATGTTACCTTGTTGGTTTACCCCATGAAGGCCGAGAGCATATTATGTGCTATACACCAACACAGTAGTGATTTGAGGAAGATCTCATCAGGCTTTCGAGAGCTTCCTCTCGTGGCGGCATGAGCTGGCAGTTGCAGGACTGCGCCTTTACCTGTGCAACATTTATGAACAGCTATAACCACAATAACATGGCAGATAATTTATCCCCAAATTACATTTAACATAATTTCTTATAGATTAAGGGGTGACTTATAATCTGCAATTTATGGATCTCGGTAAAAATTGTTAAGTTATGAGTAAACAAATTTTAAGTTTATACATTTAGGCCTACTAATCTGGTACTAGGCGAAGCATGCGGCAAGATAATTGATCCTGAATTTGTTTTTAAAATACTTATAGATTAAGAGGTGACTGATAATTTCCCATCGAAGGACCTCTGTACTGTAAAATTAAGTAATTAAATACCTTAGATGGGGAACTAAATTAAAGTTTAGATCTTTAGGCCTGAGGCCTAATAACCTGTTATTAGACGAAGCTTGCGGTGTGAGAATTAATCCTCGAATGAGTTAAAAATGCACTGACAGATATAGGGGTGACTGAAGATCTGCCATCTAACGATCTCTGTAATTGTTACGTTATTAAACACCTTAGTCGAGTAACCAAATTAAAGTTTAAACCGTTAGGCCTAAGGCTTGAGGCCTACTAATCTGTTTCTAAGCAAAGCCTGAATCCTCAATTACGTTTAATTTACTTATAGATTAAGAATGTTCCATGAGAACATTTATTGATTATTACCTTACACTCTCTCAGACACCCTCACACTCTCAGACACTCACACTCTTAGACAATCACATTCTCAGACACACTCTCAGACCCACACACACTCAGACACCCTCACACTCACACCAGTGGGGGAGGGCCAATTCCGAATGGCTCCTCTCCTCATGGCGTCTGTGTCCACCACAGTGGCTAAACGGGGGCTCTGGACGGGTGCGAGGGGCTGGTAACCCCTCCACCTCCAATTAATTACCACTAAACCACGAGTTAAACTGAAATATGTAACTATAAGCTTGTGCCGGAGGCCCTGGGGGGACAGGCGTCTATAACGTCTCCTGGCCAAACCCCAATTGGCGGAGCCAGGAGATAAAATTTCTACCCTCGGGGCTCCACCAGAAACAACGAAAAGCCACTACGGATGGCCATGTTGAATGTTCGAACACTCACTGCGGAGGAGAGGCTGCCACTCCTCTGTCGGGAGCTGGACCGGTACCGCCTGGATCTCTGTGGCATTCAGGAGGTCTGGTGGACCGGTTCTGGCTCCTGCCACCATGAGGGGTGGACAGTCCTCTACTCAGGGCAGCAGACTGCCAAACAACAGGGTGTGGCTCTTCTTTTGAACAAAATAATGAAGGGGGCGTGGGAGCGTGGCGGTGAGGTGTGGGAAGCTGTAAGCTCCAGGCTACTTTGGGCTCGCCTTCCCATCAACCGGAGGCGAGGAGTGGTGGTCGTGGTTACTTATGCCCCCACCGAAGAGGAACATCCATGGAGGGATGCAGGCAAAGCCGATAAGTCAGATGACTTCTATGACCTGTCACAGGTTCTGGCTAAAGTGGCACCTCGGGATAGAGTCATCATGTTGGGTGACTTCAATGCCCGAGTTGGTCATGATGCTGGCACCTGGTCTGGAGTGATTGGAGGGCATGGGCCAGATCAGCTCAATAACAACGGTAGGAGGCTGCTAAATTTTTGTGCAGCCCATGGGCTTGTAATTACCAACACGCTGTTCCAGCATCGCCGCATCCACACAACATCATGGATGCATGCCGGCTCCAAGCAAGAACATCTGCTGGACTACATAGTGACGGACCAGCGCATGCGAGCCCATGTCCTTGACACCAGGACCTACCGTGGAGCTGATCTGCCCTCTGACCATCGACTAGTCATCTGTAAGATGCGCCTGCCATTCTTCCACTCCGGTGGTGGGTGTACACCCAGGACCCCATTCCAACCTAAAGTGGCCTGGTCTCAGTTATCTGATGAAAGTTGCAAGCGAGAATTTCATCATCGCTTGCGGCTGGGATTGGCATCGTCCCCGACTCCTGATGTCGAGGGTAAATGGGTGAGGTTTAGGACTGTGACTCATGCAGCTGCAATGGCTGCTTTGGGTACGCGGTCCAGACCTCTCCAGAGACCCTGGCTGACAGAGGAGGTGTTCAGGATGGTTGAGAAAAAGCGACAGGCCCACTGTCATCGGCTACAGAATCCCACGTCAGAGAATGAGGAGGTTTACCGCAGCCTTCGCTCGGAGGTTCGGAGAGCCGTGAGGCGCTGCAAGGATGGGTGGTGGTCGCGGGTTGCTGAGGAGATGGAGTCTGCCTCAGTGGCCCGCGATCACAAATCTCTATTTAACTCCATCAAAAAAGTAACATGCAGCGCCACACCTATTACCATCCATTAGGGGAAAAAACGGTGATCCAATCTCCGACCCCCAGGAACTGGTTTGCAGATTTGCTGAGCATTTCTGTGAGGTCCTGGGGGAGGAAAATCCCTCAGCCAGGAATACATTGTGGCACAAAGTGAGGATGACCCTGCTGAGGCTGCGGTGCCTCAAATATTGGAAGAAGTCACCCCTTGTGTGTGACTGGCTGAGGTGCCATCTGTTGAGGAAGTACTGAAGGCGATCCGGAGTCTGAGACCAGGAAAGGCAGCACGCAGAAATGATCTGCCAAGCGAAATGCTGAGGGAGGGTGGCGTTTGTGCACAGACTGCCCTATATGACATCATAACAACAGTCTGGACCACTGGACGGCTTCCACAGGATTGGAAGGATGCCCTGGTGGTCCCCCTCTTTAAGAAGGTCCCCCTCTTTAAGAAGGGGGACCGCACAGACTGTAACTACAGGGGCATCTCACTCCTCAGTGTGCCGGGAAAGGTCCTGGCAAGGATTATTCAACATCGCCTTGCCACGCATGCTGAGGAGAGGCTTGCGGAGCCCCAATGCGGTTTCAGGAAAGGGCAGTCCTGCACAGATGCCATATTTTCTGTCCGTCTACTACAGCAGAGGTGTAGGGAATTCCAGCAAGACCTACATCTCTGCTTTATTGGCCTGGTCAAGGCCTATGATACCATCAGTAGGCCTGGGCTCTGGGTTGGTCTTCGTGCTTTTGGAGTACCTGACCCTCTGCTCACGATCATTAAGGACCTTCATGATGGTGAGCGGGCCCGGGTAAAACTACGTGGCCGGGAGTCAGAGCCATTCCCTGTACACCTTGGGGTGCGACAGGGATGTCCTCTGGCTCCCACATTATTGAACATCTATTTTGACCACGTAGTTCGTGAAGCCTTCAATAGCTGTAACGGGGGAATCTCCATATGGTACAGATATAATGGTAGGCTGATCGATGCCCAGGTGCGGTCAAGGGATGGCTCCCTATTGGTCAACCACGTTATGTATGCCGATGATTTGGTAATAGCCGCTCATTCAGAGGAGGAGTTGGAGACGCTGCTGCTGAGACTGGAGCGTGCCACTAAGAGATGGGGCCTTACCATCAGCCCCACCAAAACTAAGCACCTGCCTGGGTATTTTGTACCATCGGACACGCCACCCCCACAACTCCCAATCGGTGATGGGGCAGTTGTGGAGAGAGTGAAGAGTTTCCATTACCTGGGAAGTGTGCTTATGACCGGCTCCAGTTTAACAGCAGAGGTCTCACTCCGAATCAGTCGAGCGGCAATGTCTTTTCATCGGTTGCATAACGCTGTGTGGAAGCTACCTGCTCTGTCGCTCCGCACTAAGCTTCAGGTCTTCTCGGCCACGGTCATTCCCTCCCTTCTCTACGCTTGCGAAACGTGGACCCCCCTAATGGAACGTCTTCGCCGGTTAGAAACATTTAGGCTAGCCTGCCTACGATCCATCCTGGGTTTAACCAGGCTGGATTGTGTGAGGAGCTCACAAATCCTTGAAAGATCTGGGCATGGTCCCATCGGTGAGCTCCTCCGGCAGGCAAGGCTGCGTTGGCTGGGTCATGTAGCCCGCATGCCCAGCCACCGCATGCCGAAACAGCTTTTGTTCGGCCGGATCGAGGGGACTAAACGGGCGGCACGGGCTAGAGAAGAGATGGAGTGATGTGGTACAGGAGGGCGGAGGAGCGACGCTCACAACAACGAGCGGAGCGCCGGGTGACTAGGGCACAGCAGGTTGGCACAGTAGGGGGCACAGGTGGTGCATCAGCCAGTCATCTCAGTCAGTCGACCCGTGTCACCTGGGTCTGCCCCGTGAACTCCTGCCAGCGGGCGTTCGACACTTCACGTGGCCTCAAGGTGCACATGGCCTGGCACAAGCGTCGTGGTGACGTCACCGCCACTTAGTGGCGAATGGCGGTTGTTGTTGTTGTCACTGTGTGTGTCACTGTGTGTGTCACTGTGTGTGTGTCACTGTGTGTGTGTGTCACTGTGTGTGTGTGTGTCACTGTGTGTGTGTCACTGTGTGTGTGTCACTGTGTAATGTAGTCACGGTCGCGGTTAGCGCTACGCTGCACTATGAACCTGGCGACCCGGGTTCGATTACCGCTCACGGCCAACACCAGTGACGATGATCTGAACCGGTCCTGGGCCTCCCCTACGTCGATGCAGCCTTAAATGCGTAAGCGCATCCCCGCTGCGGTGTGTAAACTTCAGCACTGGGCAGAAAAACAGGCGGCCGGTCGTAGCGGCAGTGCTGACCACCCACCCCCTAGCACACCGTGCCGCCTTTCATATGCGCTGCCGCTCGCTAACGGCACTTGCCCCAACAGTCTGTTAAAGGCTACCTGGGGGGCGGTTTCTTCACCTGTGTGCGCGTGTGCAGGCTGGGCGTGCCGCGGCTGGACTGCGTGGGCACCGTGCAGGAGAAGCTGACGATCTGCGCCACGGACGACTCGTACCAGGCGACGCGCGAGCGCATGACGCAGGCCGAGGAGGAGACGCGCAGCCGCGGCGCCATCGTCATCAAACCCGGCGGCCCCTTCAACGGTGATGCTGCACCACGCAAAGGGCAAAGGTCCCCCGCATAGCCTTCACTGACTGTTAGCGAGGCGCACCGGTGAGTGGGAAGGATGGCCAGCTCCTTGTCTGGCCACCTCTGTCTCCCCAGTGTTGTCAACCTAGACAAACGCAAAGACAAAAATCCCCCGTATAGCCTTAACAGGCTGTTGGGGCAAGTGCACCTATGAAGACTGGCACCGCACACGAGGGGGTGAGTAGCCAGCACCATGCCCAAGTAGGGATGACATCGCCAACAGTGCTTGTGCCGGGCTAGATGCACTTTGAGGCCACGTGAAGTGTCAAAGACTTGCTAGTGGCACGAGGTAATATGGCAGACTCGCGTGCCATGGGTTGACTAACTGAGGTGACTGGCAGATGCACCACCGGTGCTCCCCACTGGCAACTTTCTGGCTGTACTGCCATCTCCAGGCCACCAATTTGCGGCTTGCTACAATAACGCCCTCATAGTGAGGTTTTAATTTTGCAACGTGCAACTTTTATATTTGTATAGTGTCTTGAAATTACTCACACTGACACGGAGTAATAGGTCACCTGCTTACACTTTATTAATCCTACTCTCGCACCCGTTGTAGGCACTCCTGTGACTGCTTTCCACTGTCACCACACACTCTGCTTCTCCTACTACCCGCTCTCATCTACTCCGCATCTCACCGATTCTGCATCTCACCTATTCTGCATCTCACCTACTCTCTCCTATCTTGCCGCTGCCCTCTCCTACGCTGCCCCGTACCCACTCACCCGTCTGTCCCGGGCGGGGGGTTCAGCCAACACCCGCCCGGCAACGGCGTGAGGGGCGAGAGGTCCCGTTGACGGCTCGAGCGGCAGCGGCGAGACGTCTTCGCTCTTGGTCCCCGAACAACTCCCTTTGCTTACGCGCACTCCCGCTTATATACCCCTCCTCATTCCGAGTCCTCACGTGCTCCCCACTTAAGCTGTCGCCTCCACTGTGCCTATCGCACTCATTAATCCCTAATCATCGCCCCCATCTCCCGTTTCCCCGGCGCCAACCTCCTGCCCCAGCGCGCACACCTGCTCGTCCTCAATTGCACCCGCTCAACTGCGCGCACTGCGTACATCTCTACTCGACGTTCGTAAAACACAACGGTGATAATGGGCATAGTTTCAACTTGGAACGCGCCACTGCCGCACAGTACTCGCTCACTATCAGAGAGGACGACTAACCAATACACTTTCACTCTCCACACCACAGACACCACCCACACCACCACGCATGTCTGTAACAAAGACAAAGATTCCACATATAGCCTTAATAGGCTATTGGGGCAACTGCTGTTAGCGAGCACCTATGAAGGCCGGCGCAGCACACGAGGGGGTGTGTGGCTAAGACCATGCCCAATCGCTGTTGTCACCCCAGTGGCGATGTTTACACACCGCACCGGTACTCAATTGAGGCTGAGTCGATCTAGGAGGGCCCAAGACCGGTTGAGATAATTGTCACTGGCGTCGACCGTGAGCGGGAATCGAACCCAGGTTGCTGGGTTCGTAGCGCATCGTGCTAACCGCTACGCCACCACAACGCCAACATGCCACAACTTTACACGCATACCACCACACACCATTACTACCACGCCACCACACACGCTAACGTGCGTGTCACCACGCCCAGCTCTCGTCCGTTGTCTCGCACGAGGGATTAGCGTGAGCGGCAGCGGCGGCGGGCGCCTGTCCGCATCGTTGACGGATCGCCGTCTGCCCTACAAATATATGAGCAATTGCCCGGGAGCGCGACGGGGCACGTTCCCGCAGGCATCTCGCGGCGTTCCCGAGCATCGTCTGACGTGTGACCAATGATTACGCCCCAAATTTAAACCCCCACGACGCGAATTAAGAGAGGGGGGCCAAAGGTCGAGCTCTGGTGGTGTAACGGATCCTCGCTCGTTAACGCTGGCACGCCGCGCCCTCCCTCGGGGAGACAATTATTTGTTCCCAGGCTGCACGTCACTTGGCTGACACCGGCTATCGTGTTCTTTTTTTTACCGCCTTTATTTCACGGCCGCAGAGGATGGCTTCACAGAACTACTCCTAACGACGACGAAAGGGAAATGACCACAGTTGACTTGACGAGTAGGTGGTATTAAGATTCACAATGGATTATATATTTTTTATGTTAGGCCGCGTATTTAATTGACTTGAACACCCCGACGTAGCCAAACAAATTTAATTGTAACGCGGTGCACAAGTGTTTAAAGGCTCGCCATTCACACACACACACACACCCACTCATTCACCCACTCACCCAATCAAGAGCACAATTATTCACACACACTCAACCACCAACTCACTCATTCGCCCACTTATTCACTCGCTCACTGACTCGCCCACTTATTCACTCGTCCACTTATTCACTCACCCACCCACTCACTCGCTCACCCACTCACTCGCTCACTCACCCACTCACTGAGCCTCTCACTCACCCGGAAAGTCGGTGGTGGAGGGCCCTCGCGATTGACGGGCCCTTCACAACAGCCGTGTTTCCCCTACCCCAACCCTATCCTCCACCCATCTCACCGTTACCGCCACCCCTCGCCCTCCTCCCTCCCTGCCGCCGCCGCCACCACCCCAGGCAAGAGAACCGTTCGGAGGTTGCCGCCCGAGTTGATGGACCTCGCTCCAGGGCGCAAGCGGTCGGCCCCGCTCAACCCAGCTAACACCCTGCGCAAGGCCCCGGCCGCCGGCACTACCAGCGCTGCCGCCGCCGCAACCGCCGCTGCGCTCCGTCCGGCTTCCCCTGTGGCCGCCGCTGCCGCCGCCGCCGCCGCCGCCTCGGGCCCTGCGGAGGCCCTGCGGCGCCCCATGCGCGAGCGTGTGGTGCACTTCCTGGCGCTGCGGCCCTGCAAAAAAGCCGAGCTGGTGGCGCGGCTAGAGAGGGACGGTGGTGGCGTTGGTGGTGGTGGGCAGTGTGACCGTTCGCAAGTGTTCGCTATCCTGGAGCAGGTGAGGCGGCCGTTTGAGAAGTTGTTTTTGCCTGTCTCATGCAAGCATCTGGCACGAGAATATTACTACACTCGCTCGTGAGCCAAGAGGAGTCTCCCATTGCCACCGCTGGTGGAGAATGCTACTCGTATCCACCACGGGCAGTGTCGCCCACGGGCAAATATTTTTGCGTACACGCAAGTCTTATAGGCCCACTTCCTATATTTTCTCATGCTCCATACTATTTATCACGTTTCTTTTTTCCCCAAATCCATTTTCTTGGGCAATGGGTTCCAGCTGACCAGGCAATTGTGAGCCAGCCACAGTGGTGGCAAAAAAAAAAAACACCTTGGAGGCAGGGGTTGGTGGATGACGTGTAGATTTGTGAAGCTCCCAAAGCCACTGGATTAAATGCGTTGGTGGCAATGAGACTGCGGGAGAGCAGGTGGGTTTTAAACCCCTCCGTCCTGTTTCTAGTTTGTCACTGCTGTGCTTGAACCCCCTCTGCCGGCTCCCCTTGGAGGTGGCGGCACCAAGGGGCCAGGATGGCCGGCACCAACTGAAGGAGGCGGCCTATGCGGAGGTGCGGCAGGACTGGCCGGGTTACTCGCCGGAGGAGCGGCGCGCCGTGCAGGCCCTGCTCTCTCGGTGGGGCCGCCCCTCCAAACCTTGCACCACACGACCCCGCACGCGACCCCAGTCGGAAACGTAATCCTACACATAACCCTAGTCCTGCATAGAAGCCTACACACGCAACCTTAGCCCGACACACAGCCCTAGCCCTACACGCAAGCCTAGTCCTACACACAACCAAAGCACTACACACTACCGTAGTCCCAACGCACAACCCAAGGCCTACACCTAACCCTAGTCCTGCACACATAGTCCGAACCCTGATCCTAACCCTAATCATCACCCAAAACCAAAACATAACCCTAGTCTTAACCCTGACCCAGGCCAAACCCTGATCTCATGACCTGAGGCCTAGCACAAGCAATGAACCGAACGCCGACTTGGATGTCCCAATTAGGATGGAAGGTTTTTCCGTCGCCGTTGCTTCCACCACCGTCAACCCTGCGTCTCCGCTTGCCCTCGTCGTGACCCAGCCTGCCCTGTGTGTCGTGTTGTGTCTGCACAGGAGAGCGACGCAGCAGCATCCCCCCCCCTCAGGCCTATCCCACAATGCACCGCAACCTCGACTTAGTCCTGCCGCGGAGGCTAGCCGACCACCCAACCACACAGCCCAGGTAATCACGGTGGCACCTGTCACTCTGCACAGGTATCACTTCACCTGTCACTCTACACAGGATAGTCACGTCACCTCTCACTCTACACAAGTATCACTTCACCTGTCACTGCTCGGATAGTCACGTCACTTGTCACTCTACCCGGGTGCTTCGTCTGCTGCTGCCGCAGAAACGGCCACATACCTCCACCGAGGAGGACGCGGAGCCGTCGCTGGGGGGGCAGCAGCAGCAGCAGAAAATGTCGCAGAACGGCACCAAGAAGCCACGCGTGTCCCACCTGACGAGCCGCGTTCCCCCCACGCACTGCGATCGCCCGGAACCGCCGCGGCGGGAGAAGGACGAGGGAGTGGCGGCGGCGGCGGCCGCGGCGCCACCGTGCCAGCCCCTGCCCGACACTGCGCGGAGGAAGATGAAGAAGCGCAAGGAGAAGGAGCGGGAGAGGGAAACGCCAGCGGGCAAGGAGATGCCGGGGGGCGCGGCGACGAAGCAAGGAGACGCGGGGATGAAGCAGGGAGACGCGGGGACATCGGAGGATAGGATCGTGCAGAGGGGCAGAGAGAGGCAGATGGACACGGGGATGCAGAGGGACAGGGGCATGCAGAGGGACAGAGAGAGGGAGATGGACATGTGGATGCAGAGAGACAAAGGGACACAGGGACACAGGGATATGCAGAGGGACAAAGAGGTGCAAAGGGACAAGGATGCGCAGAGGGAAAAAGAGATGCAGATGATCAGGGCGACACAGGGAGACAAGGAGCTGCTGAATGACAGAGAGACAAAGAGGGTCACGGAGACACAGAGAGAAAGGGAGACTAGTAAAGACATGGAAACACAGAGAAACGTCGACACAAATAGAGACCAGGAGACACAGAGAGACAGAGATAGACAGAGGGACACGGAGACTCAGAGGGAAACCGTGGCACAGAGGGAAGCGGAAACACAGAAAGATAGAGAGACACAGAGGGAGAGTGATCGGGAAAGAGAACGGAACAGGGAGAGACAGAGAGACAGGGAGCAAGAGAGGCAGCGGCAGAGATATCGCGACTTGGAGAGAGACAAACAGAGGGAGAGGGACCGGGAGAGGGCGAGACAAGAGGAGAGAGACAAACAGCAAGAGAGGGAGAGGCAGGCGGAGAAAGACAAACAGCAAGAGAGGGAGAGGCAGGCGGAGAGAGACAAACAGAGAGAGAGGGATAGGGAGAGGCAGGCGGAGAAAGACAAACAGCAAGAGAGGGAGAGGCAGGAGGAGAAAAACAAACAGCAAGAGAGGGAGAGGCAGGCGGAGATAGACAAACAGCAAGAGAGGGAGAGGCAGGAGGAGAGAGACAAACAGAGAGAGAGGGATAGGGAGAGGCAGGAGGAGAGAGACAAACAGCAAGAGAGGGAGAAGCAGGAGGAGAGAGACAAACAGAGAGAGAGGGAGAGGCAGGAGGAGAGAGACAAACAGAGAGAGAGGGAGAGGCAGGAGATAGAAAAGAGGAGGGAGCAAGAAAACTCAAAAGCCGTGACAAGGCCTGCAGAGGAGATGGAAGTGGATTCGCAAGGAGTGTCTGAGGAAGAGATGCAGTACAAGAAGTTCAAAATGGACTCCAGAGCAGGTGTGTGCACGCAGTGTAGTGTGTGTGTGAGTGTGTGCACGCGGTGTAGTGTGTGTGAGTGTGTGCGTGTATGTATGCACACGGTGTAGTGTGTGTGAGTGTGTGTGCACGCGGTGTAGTGTGTGTGTGCGTGTATGCACACGGTGTAGTGTGTGTGTGCGTGTATGCACGCGGTGTAGTGTGTATGTGTGTACATGTATGCACGCGGTGTAGTGTGTGTGTGTACATGTATGCACGCGGTGTAGTGGGGAGCGATAGTGTAGCGGTTAGCGCGCTGCGCTATGAACCTGGCGACCCGGGTTCGATTTCTGCTCACGGCCAACACCAGTGACGATTATCTGAACCGGTCCCGGGCCTCCCCTAGGTCGACTCAGCCTCAAATGAGTACCTGGTGCGGTGTGTAAACATTGCCACTAGGGAGACAAAGGCGGTCGGGCGTGGTGCTGGCCACCCACCCCCTCGTGTACCGTTCCAGCCTTCATAGGTGCTCGCTAACAGCACTTGCCCCTACAGTCTGTTAAGGCTATATGGGGGATCTTTATCTTTATGCACGTAGTGTGTGTGTGTGCGTGCGTGTATGCACACGGTGTACTGTGTGTCTGTGCACGTGGTGTAGTGTGTGTGTCTGTGCACGTGGTGTAGTGTGTGGGAGAGTGGGCAGCGGTAGCGTGCTACGCTACGAACAAATCCGAGTTTAATTCCCGCTCATGGCCAACACCAGTGACAATTTTTTCAACTGGGCCTCCCCAAGTTTCACTCAGCCGCAAATGAGTACTTGATGCGGTGTGTAATCATCGCCACTTGGCAAACAAAGGCGACCGGGCGTGGTGCTGGCCACCCACCCCACCTCGTGTGCCGTGCCAGCCTTCATAGGTGCTCGCGGACAGCACTTGTCCCAATAGTCCGTTAAGGCTTTCAGAGGGATCTTTGTCTTTGTGTACCCGCGCAAGCCAACAAAGAGAGAACTGCCGGTCGCCAGCGTTGGTTGAATGAAGCCTGATTCTGCTGATGAGACGTTGAATGTCGAACCAGTCCAGCGTCCGTGCGTGCGTTAAACCAATGCTGCTGAAAAAAACGCATTCGTTACCAGCTTTGTGGCTGATGGGGATGCGTAAGGAAAAGAATGCGATTGCGTTTCGGCGTGGAGAGACGGTCATGTGGAGGAGAATGTGTCCTTACCGTCCAAAGTGATTTCATTACCTTTATTCTCCACAGAGACGCCCATGATGATTTTGTGATTAACCCGGGGTACACAAGTGCTGTCCATTAACGGTCTCTGTCTGGTCACCGCCTGGTCACCCAGTGACTGCACAACGCCGCAAATTGGATTCTATGCTTAATTTGCCCAGGATTTCGGCTTTGAATTGTTTAAAATGTCGCTTTTGACCGCCACACACGGACTGACATTGCCCCTCGGTCGCGGAGCGTCGGAGAAAGCGCTGCCTTGCCAACGACCGCGTGTACCCACTTGAAGAAGGCACCTCAGAAGTAGCTCTGTGATATTCGCTTCTACGGGGCCGTTCTCTGACACGGCGGGCGCGGAGGGGTTTCCGAAGGGGAATCGCACTCTCAGCCTGGTGCATCAGAAGCCATTTTGCAACGGTGGGCACACATTACCCTGTGCACCCGTCAACCTGAGTTTGATTCCTGGCCACGGCTTAACGTGAGTGGCACAATGTGTATCTGAACCGGTCAACTCCACCTTAAACAACAAGAGCACATCCGGTGCGGTGTGTGAACCTGGGCACTTGACAAGACAAAGGCGTCCGATGGCGCGGTGTCATTGTCCACACCGCCCCCCCCAAATCGTCGCCGTGCCGGCCTTCGTAGCTGCTCATCAAAAGGCAACATTCCCCCCCCCCCCCGGTGTTCTGTAACCGTAGAGTGGGAGGATCTGCATGTGTTCAGCGCGGGTATGGACGTGCGCGTGTCGGCCGCGTGCACAGTTGAGTAATCGACGCTTGCACAATTGACTGACGGACCGTTGGGAATGGAGCAATTGGCATCGTCGCTCGGAGATTTGGCAATAAGCATTCCTTCTTCCCTCGGGTTCGTTTATCAAGGTTCTCTCGCACTCGCTCCACCCACACACGCGCGCACGTGGTCATGTGGTCGCGTGGTCACGTGGTCGCGTGTGTGTGGGGAGCAGTAGCGCGCTACGAACCTGGTCACCCGAGTTCGATTCCCGCTCACGGCCAACACCAGTGAGGATTTTCTGAACCGGTCCTGGGCCTCCCCTAGGTTGCTTCAAATGAGCACCTGGTGTGGTGTGTGAACATGGCCACGAGGGAGACAAAGGGATCTGGGCGTGGTGCTGGCCACCCACCCTTTCGTGTGCCGTGCCGGCCTTCATATGCGCTCACTAACAGCACTTAGCCCAAAAGTCTGTTTCGGCTATACTGGGGATTTCTGTCTTTAAGAAACATTCCATGGGGGTAGATTTGCGGTGAGGTGGAGTGGTAGTGCAGCTGCGCTCTGAACTTGGCGACCCCGAGTTCCATTCCTGGCAAAGGCTGACATCGTTGGTGAGCAACATCCGAACCTGTTGTGGTCCCTAATACAGGTTTTTAGGGTTAGATCGCCTAAGTATATAAATGTGCCGTTAAACCCGCCGCCACCACCCGACACAGCCAATTAGTAAGGGTTGTCACGTAAACAGAACGTGCCAATTCGTCACAAGTACAGCACCACCCGTTTGTTGGAGAGCCAAGCCACAACATTTACAATCTTGAGTACGACGTTTCGCCAGTAGTTACAGCTAGCTTCATCAGGCGACAGCCAGATTTGTGGAGAAGTCCACCTGTTTCATGCGCATTATGCGAACCTGTTGTGGTCCCGCCACAGTCAGTCACTCACTAATCTGCACTGAGCGGAATGGTAGAGCAATGGTGATCTATGGGGAGGCCTTCATCCAGCAGTGGACTTTGAAGGGGCTGCAGGTTGTAAGTCCGGATCATTATTTATACTGAAGAAATCGGATGAGCTTGAAAGCTCTTTTTCACAGAAGACATGATTAATTACACGGTCATGCTGCCTGCTCATAATTGCACTTTTCTGTCCGTGTCGTCCTTACGGTCCCCCCCCCCTTCCTCCTCCCCGCCGCCCCCACCCCATCGGCCTGCCCCTCCCCTTGTCCCCTGCAACCTCTCCTCACCGCCAGCAGACAAACCGGAGCTGAAACCAGAACATCCCTCGAGCGCGGCGAGCAACCCGGACTACAAACTGTGAGTACTCACCACGAGGGTACTTTCTCTCCAACGAGAGTACTCGCTCGCCACTAGAGCACCACTAGATCACCACGCGTGTACTCGACACGAGAGTACTCACCATGTGTGTACTCCACGAGAGTACTCACCACGCGTGTACTCCGCGAGAGTACTCACCACGCGTGTACTCGACACGAGAGTACTCACCACGCGTGTACTCCACGAGAGTACTCACCACACGTGTACTCCACGAGAGTACTCACCACACGTGTACTCCACGAGAGTACTCACCACACGTGTACTCCACGAGAGTACTCACCACACGTGTACTCCACGAGAGTACTCACCACGTGTGTACTCCACGAGAGTACTCACCACACGTGTACTCCACGAGAGTACTCGCCACGCGTGTACTCCACGAGAGTACTCACCACACGTGTACTCGACGCGAGAGTACTCACCACGCGTGTCCTCCACGAGAGTACTCACCACGCGTGTCCTCCACGAGAGTACTCACCACGTGTGTACTCCACGAGAGTACTCACCACGCGTGTACTCCACGAGAGTACTCACCACGCGTGTACTCCACGAGAGTACTCACCACGCGTGTACTCGACACGAGAGTACTCACCACGTGTGTACTCCACGAGAGTACTCACCACGCGTGTACTCCACGAGAGTACTCACCACACGTGTACTCCACGAGAGTACTCACCACGCGTGTACTCCACGAGAGTACTCACCACGCGTGTACTCGACACGAGAGTACTTACCACGCGTGTACTCGACACGAGAGTACTCACCACGCGTGTACTCGACACGAGAGTACTCACCACGCGTGTACTCCACGAGAGTACTCACCACGCGTGTACTCCACGAGAGTACTCACCACGCGTGTACTCCGCGAGAGTACTCACCACGCGTGTACTCCGCGAGAGTACTCACCACACGTGTACTCGACACGAGAGTACTCACCACGCGTGTACTGGACGCGAGAGTACTCACCACGCGTGTACTCGACACGAGAGTACTCACCACGCGTGTACTGGACGCGAGAGTACTCACCACGCGTGTACTCCACGAGAGTACTCACCACGCGTGTACTCGACACGAGAGTACTCACCACGCGTGTACTCGACACGAGAGTACTCACCACGCGTGTACTCCGCGAGAGTACTCACCACACGTGTACTCGACACGAGAGTACTCACCACGCGTGTACTCCGCGAGAGTACTCACCACGCGTGTACTCGACGCGAGAGTACTCACCACGCATGTACTCGACACGAGAGTAATCACCACGCGTGTACTCCACAAGAGTACTCACCACGCGTGTACTCCACACGAGAGTACTCACCACGCGTGTACTCGACACGAGAGTACTCACCACGCGTGTACTCCACAAGAGTACTCACCACGCGTGTACTCGACACGAGAGTACTCACTACGCGTGTACTCGACACGAGAGTACTCACCACGCGTGTACTCGACACGAGAGTACTCACCACGCGTGTACTCCGCGAGAGTACTCACCACACGTGTACTCGACACGAGAGTACTCACCACGCGTGTACTGGACGCGAGAGTACTCACCACGCGTGTACTCGACGCGAGAGTACTCACCACACGTGTACTCGGCACGAGAGTACTCACCACGTGTGTACTCGACACGAGAGTACTCACCACGTGTGTACTCGACACGAGAGTACTCACCACGCGTGTACTCGACACGAGAGTACTCACCACGCGTGTACTCGACGCGAGAGTACTCACCACGTGTGTACTCGACGCGAGAGTACTCACCACGCGTGTACTCGACGCGAGAGTACTCACCACGCGTGTACTCGACGCGAGAGTACTCACCACGCGTGTACTCCACAAGAGTACTCACCACGTGTGTACTCGACACGAGAGTACTCACCACGCGTGTACTCGACGCGAGAGTACTCACCATGCGTGTACTCGACGCGAGAGTACTCACCACACGTGTACTCCACGAGAGTACTCACCACGCGTGTACTCGACACGAGAGTACTCGCCACGCGTGTACTCGACACGAGAGTACTCACCACGCATGTACTCGACGCGAGAGTACTCACCACGCGTGTACTCGACACGAGAGTACTCACCACGCGTGTACTCGACACGAGAGTACTCACCACGCGTGTACTCGACGCGAGAGTACTCACCACGCGTGTACTCGACACGAGAGTACTTACCACGTGTGTACTCGACACGAGAGTACTCACCACGCGTGTACTCGACACGAGAGTACTCACCACGCGTGTACTCGACACGAGAGTACTCACCACGCGTGTACTCGACACGAGAGTACTCACCACGCGTGTACTCGACGCGAGAGTACTCACCACGCGTGTACTCGACACGAGAGTACTTACCACGTGTGTACTCGACACGAGAGTACTCACCACGCGTGTACTCGACGCGAGAGTACTCACCACGCGTGTACTCGACACGAGAGTACTTACCACGTGTGTACTCGACACGAGAGTACTCACCACGCGTGTACTCGACGCGAGAGTACTCACCACGCGTGTACTCGACGCGAGAGGTACTCGCTCGCGACTGGTGCACGCTCGCTAGCATCGTACTCGCTCGCCGCTCGAGTGCCCGCCACTTTGAGTGCTCGCCGACGATGGCGCTCACCAGCGGCTCGCTCGCTCGCTCGCAGGGATTACGTGCCGATCGTGACGCCGGAGCAGAGGCAGCGCTACGAGGCCGACTTCAGCAGCGAGTTCTCCGAGTACCGGCGGCTGCACCGGCGCATCGACACCGTGAAGCGGCGCTTCGAGCAGCTGCAGCACAAGATGCACGCCCTCGCCCCGGACTCGCGGGAGCAGCAGGTGGGGGGGGGGAGGGGAGAGCGGGGGGAGGGGGAGGGGGAGGAGAAGGGAAGGAGACAGGAGGGACATCGGTGAGGGGAGAGGGGCGGGGGAGAGGGGCGGGGGAGAGGGGCGGGGGAGAGGGGCGGGGGAGAGGGGCGGGGGAGAGGGGCGGGGGAGAGGGGCGGGGGAGAGGGGCGGGGGAGAGGGGCGGGGGTGGGAGAGGGGAGCACTGAGGTATAGAGAGGGGAGAGAACAGGGAGAGCATCAGGTAAGAAAGCGGGGGTCCGAACCCGTCTCTTTCACGAGCTCACTGAGCACTTGCTTCGCCTAAACCGATGACCCTGCAGTGCGTGGGTGACTGGGGAGGAAAAGGGGGTGGAGGGACCCAGCTCCTGCGGCGGTGATGCGATCTTTGCTCTGTCCCCCCCCAGGTCATCCGGAAGCAGGTGGTGCAGGAGTACAGCAAAGTGAAGAAGGTGAGTAGTTGCCCTGGTGGAGGGGGCACCGCTGTGCCTGCGCCCGTCCCACTGTGGGGTTGGCGGATCGCGCAACAGGCGCTGTGAAACGACCTCTCTCTCTCACGAGCGTCCAGGAGGAGCAGTAACCCAGGCTCGCCGGTAGAAGGCGATACAGCCAAAAAAATGTGGACTCCCAGCTGTCGCGTCTGCGTGGGATCAAGTGTTTCCCCCTCGGACGCATGTGTGGGTTTTCTCCAGGAGCTCCTGTTTCACCCACATGTAAGCGCTCTTTAATTGGCCGATAACGCCGTAATATATAGGGGAGAGCAGAGCTTGAGGCAATTTATGGGAGCGCCGGCCTCTCACTGCGTGGCTGCTGCCGCTGCCTTCCCGCTCATCTGTGGTTCCTCCTGCTGGCGCCTCCGAGTCGTCCTCTCTCTCCCTCTGCGAGAGCGAGCAGCGCGTACCGTGCGGCGACGACTAGAGCACACCTGTCAGCCCAAACTGTTTACCCGTATTCTTGTCGAGGGACATTGAGTTTTCAGCTCCACACAGCGGACAGCCGTTTCTAAACGGGCATTTTGTATGTCTATTTGTTTGTGTTTCCCCCTTTGTGATGGGACTTTGTAGGATGAACTTTGAGATTTATAAGGGGCACGGGGTGACCAATAATGCCTGAATTGGTCTGTAATAAGGTAGGCACTGATAAAGGGTTGACAGGGATGGTTTTCCATCCATAGTCATAGCGGGTGGTTTGGGTGCGGGCTTGCGCGTGTTACGTGTGTGTCTGTTTGCGTATGCATTTGCCTTTGTACATGTGCCCGTGTGCATACATGCACACAGGTAGTTGGCACAGTAGAGGGCACAGCTGTTGCATCTGCCAGTCATCTCAGTCAACCCATGGCACCTGCGTCAGCCCCGTGACCTCCTGTCAGCGAGCCTTCGACACGTCACTTAGCATCAGTGCGCCCGACCTCTCACGGGCGCCCTGGTGACGTCATCGTCACTCAGTGGCGAATGGCGGGTGTTGTCATTGTCATACTTGCCCACACGTGTGTTTACGTGTCCACACGTGTGTTTACGTGTCTGTTCGTGTGTATGCGGGGAGACGAATGCGGCCAGACACCGGGTACGGCCACGCCAACTCGTGTACCGCGCAGGCCTTTGTCGAGGCTGCTCGCTAACAACACTTGACTCGACAGTCTGTGTCGGTTACACAGGGGGATCTTTGTCTTGGTATGCGTTTACACCCTCCCTTGCTCTTTCTCACCACAGACCAACCCTGACTACCAGCAGGAGAAGCGACGCTGCGAGTACCTGCACTCCAAGCTGGCGCACATCAAGCAACTCATCACGGACTACGACCAGTCCTCGTAGCCGAGCCACCGCCCGCGGATAGCGTCTCTCTCCTGCTCGTGCCACCAGCAAGTGACTACCGGCCACGCCGCCACCACCACCACCACCACCACCACTTCCTCCTCGCCTACAGCACCACCACTCCCAAAAGGAAGTTATCACCACCAATCAACCCAAATCTGTCAGCCACACGGCCACCACCACAAACACAACCACGTGTCCACCAGCGCCAGCATCAACACCAGCCACTTACCTACATATGTATGTTGAACTTCTTTCGCACTGTACGTAGTGAACCGTGCTAATCGGAGGTGCGGTGGTGGTGTTTGCTCCCATGAGATATCGCGACCTGATGTGCGGATGTCCCTGCAAGTAACGTAGGGCTGAGTGGTGGTGTTTAATTGATTGTATGCGTGTGTGCAAATGCAAGTGTGTAAGTGAGGGAACTCCCACGCTCTCAAACCGACGAGTCTTAAATCTCCGCCGTTCACCGGCAAACCTTAGCCATTCCCGTTAACCGAAAACTCTTGAGCAAGCTTCACAAGCTGTATTTTTGTCCCACTACGCTAAAAGAAAAAACACCTTTACACGTCCCTGTCTCCCCTGTATTGCTGTCAATCGCTCTCGCCAGATGCAGCCGCGTAAATAGGGCCTGCGCCATCGAGCATTATTGCAAACCCCCTTCGCGCGTGCCCCAGGGGCGGCGTTTTTCTTTTCCCGACGCGGTGTCGCCGTTCTGTCTCCGCGCGAACGAGACGGGAAGTTGTAGAACAATCGGAGCGATCGCGGAGTGGCGACGCGGCCGGGCCGGCGACGCGGCCGGGCCGGCGACGCGGCCGGGCCGGCCACTCGGCCCCTTTCACGCGGCGCAAAATCCGCAGCGTGAAAATGAATTAGCGGCTCTCTCCATTTGGGCACGAAGCCCCCGCACGCGCTTGTTGAGCGTTTCGCTCCCTGAAGAAGAAGCTCCCAGCGCCCGGAGGCGAAACGTCGGACATCGTCCCAGCCCACACTGGGGGCACGGCCGATTTGAATCAAACTTGCGCCGTTGCTTTCCGACTGCCACGGCCGCTGGAGGTGGAATCGAACCGGCGACTTCCGGGTTGCGAGTCGCGGCGTTGCTGCCGACCGTTACACCGCCAGCGGCAGCTCCCTTCGTTTCCCTGTTGAAAGTGTCAAAAGTTTTAGGTTCATCCGTCGAGAATATCTCTTGTAGGTTCGACTTAAACCGGTTTATACACTGGGTTGCCTCCCGCGGCTATCGGAAGTATTCGCCGTGCACGCGAGAGCCGGCAGGATGTTTCCGCCGATGCTTGCGGTCAGTTTGGGTGGTCAGTGCCAAGCAGGGTGAGGCTTGAGGGGGAGGAGGAGGAGTGAGTAGAAGGACAGGAAGTGGGGGGGGGGGTGCCGGTACCTCCTCGCTCGCCTCCCCCCCCTACCGACCCCCCTGCTGCTCCCCTCACCCCACAGAGAAGCTCACCGCCACCACCACCATCGCGGCTGGCTCAATCGCGATTAACCAATTGGGCGGCGCCAATTACTTTATTATTTTTGTTTACACGGGAAAGCATCACCGAGTCCCGTGACTCTCTTTCAGGGGGTTCCTGTCCGCGTTGTCACTGTAGGGGCGGGTGGGGTGTTGGCAGCGGTGTGAATTTTGGAAAAATTTTGAGCACCCGGTGCCGTTGCCGGTGGATCCAGAACGAACGCCCGCCGTCATTATTAACGCGACCGCGGTAATAACCAGGGTGGCCCGCTGGAGCCGAACTGCCAACCTCCGCGACAAGCACCGCTCGAACCGTCGGTCCTCCACCACCCCCCACCCCCATTTTGAGGACCTTCACAAAGCGGCACCGACCCGCGTGGTGAAGTACGGTCGCCTTGCACGGTCTGCCATCGCGAGACCGTCGCAAGAGGTGACGGCAGCATGATGGGGGGGGGAGGGTGGGGTTGGTCGCCATACAACCAGCAGTGGATAAACAAAGGGCTTTCAGTTATTATTACGATGACACTGTGTGTTTCGAGCCAACCTGACACTCGTTTAGACGTGTGTACTGTACGAGCCCGGGTCTCTCTTGCGAGAGAGACTTGCGTCACAAGAGGAGCTTCTGCATTTGCCTGATGAAACTACTACCTAGAGCGTGCGTCCTGCTGCCACATGCACGCAAACACATTCACGCTCTTAACACTGCGCGCATGTGTATGTACGTGCAAATGTGCGCACACACTCGCATTGCTGTGTGTGTGTGTGTACATGGGCACATGTGCACACTCGTAACACCGCGCGTGTGTATGTGTGCGCACACGTGCACACACTCGCAGTGTTAAGAGTGTGTGTACATGTGTATACGTACACACAAAACACTGCATGTGCGTGTACATGAGCACATATACAACCACACCTGACACTGCGTGTGCATGTACATGTCCAAAGACAAAAGATTCCCTGTATAGCCTTCAGATGGCAGGCTGCTGGGGCAAGTGCTGTTTGCGAGCGCCTATTTAGGTGTATACACGCGCACACACGTTTGCACACATGCAACATTGCGCATGTACGCACGCACACGCGAACAACTACAGCATACCAAGTACTGTATCCGAGTCTGTGTTACGTCGCCTACGACAGTATATATATGCATAAAGACAGTATATATATTTTATTAACTTTTTTGGACTACAACGAATGGTGCCTTCGCACGGTGCACTTTCCAGCGAGGTGGAACTGAGACCCCCCACGAATTCTGAAACCCCCGTCTCCTCCACCCTGGGGGACCCCGGTCGGATTCTCCGGGCGAGGTGACTCGCCAGAGCCGGTTGCCTATCCTCCGCCTCCTCACTTGGTCCGGGTCGCCCCCCTTCACTCAACCCCCCCCCCAGGAAAGCCGGTCCTTCACCGCTCCGACAGTCAGTGCCACAACAGCCGTCCGGCTCTGTGTGACCCCCCCCCCCCCACTGCATTGCCCCTCACGCGTAGGTCATAGCCCCCCGGCGACGGTCGGAGAAAGTTGCCGATCTGGCGTGTGGAACGTTTGAATGTTTAACCTAAAATTCACTGGGTGCCAATTTCCCCCCATCCCCCCCCCCCCTCCCCCACTTCGACTGTGCGATCGGAGCGAGTGTGATTTATTTAAAGAATACGAATGAGAATCGTGAAACGCGACGAGCCTTTTGCCTGGTAGCTGCGCGCGAGCCCTGCGTGTGTCCCCGGGGCGGCGGGGGGGGGGGGAGGCGGGGGTGACCAGTCCCTGTCGTCAGCGCATCGCCTTTGTTTCATGAATAATAAACGAGGGACTGAATGTAAAAGAGTTTGTTTTTGTCCCACGGGAAAGGTTGCAATAGGTACAACGGAAAGTCGTGCAGCTGCTTCTAGTAGGGCTTGCTGCAACGCTTTTTGAGTGATAACATGGACAGAGACGGGAGGAAGGCAGGCAACGATCGTTTTTGAGGAAGGATAATGGGCCGGCACGTGGAGAGTTTCATAATTGAAGCATCGCAGCGCTTGCTTGGGCACGGGGGGGAGCTCGAGGTCAATGCGCAGCTACAAGATAAGAGCTGCTCGATGTTGGGATTGTGTGTAACTTTAGTAAGAGATCTAAAGTGTAACAAATATATGCGTGTGTGTGTGTGAGAGTGTCTGCCCCGTGAGCGGTAGTGCAGCGGTTAGCGCGCTGCACTACGAACCCGGCCACCCAAGTTCGATTGCCGCTCACAGCCAACACCAGTGACGATTATTTGAACTGGTCCTGGGCCACCCCGAGGTAGACTCAGCCTCAAATGAGTACCTGGTGCGGTGTGTAAACATTGCCACTAGGGAGACAAAGGCGGTCGGGCGTGGTGCTAGCCACCCACCCCCTCTTGTGCCGTTCTGGCCTTCACAGGTGCTCGCTAACGGCACTTGCCCCTACAGTCTGTTAAGGCTGTGCGGGGGATCTTTGTCTGTCCCATGACCTGTCGGCGAGCCCTCGACACTTTCACGTGGCCTCAAAGTTGCACCTGGCCTGGCAGAGAGGCGCTGTGGTAACGTTACCGTCACTTAGTGGCGGGATGGGGCCAGGGTATTGGTATTGGTGACCTGAAGGTGGAGGAACAATTCTCAGCAGAAGATGCTTAATACATCACCCAGTGTTAGACTTCGCAGGAACACGAAAAGACAACTTTGCTCATTGCTGTACTAGTGGTGTGTGTGTGTGAGCGTGTGCGTGTCTATTTTTGGGAGGAATTGCGGAAGAAAAAAGCTGTACGAAAACGTTTGGAGGGTGGAGATCGTGATGCTGATGATGCCGGCGATGACGACCGAGATCATTATATTTTTGATTCGGCTCTATCGCCGTGCACGTGAAGAGTGGCGAGTGTACGCGTCGTTTCTCGTCGTCGTCGTCGTGATTGGTGGCAGCGGTGCGGATGTGACATTGCTGATCGTCGTTGTCCTGCCACGCTTCTCTACCGTGGGACGATTGCTGTCGACTCTTCTCGGTGTGACTTCTGAACGAATCGTCCGTTTTTCCCTTATCGATGTGTTTTCCCCTTATCGATGTGTCCTTGCCCGGTGGCGTTTCGTTTGAAATCTGCTCGGTTTGAAGGAGGTCGGGTTTAAGCGGCCCTGCAATCTACTTTCCCCGTGCGTGCCACCGCCGCTTTTGGAAAAGAGACCACCTGACAACAAGAGGCAGTTCCAGAGAGCATCTCTTGTGAGAATGATCTCGGGAGAGGGCAAGAACAATTGGCATCGTTGAGAGGTTCTCGGTTGCACTCTGATTGCATTGCTCAATTAAAACTATTTACTAAGCTATTTTTGTTTTACCAGGTAAGGCCCCCTCACTGAGTTATTTAGCTCTTTTTCAGAAGCGACCTGGCCACAAATGATAGCCCAACGAAGTGGTTTATCGTGTGGACATTTATAGCAGCCAATTACTCTAAACGCGTGGTGATGTTGATTTTAAATGTGGAGGGAAAAACCGGAGGACCCGGAGAAAAATCCACGTGACCACAGGGAGAGAGAGAGACACGCAAACTCCCAAATATACAAGTATCAGGGTCGAGATCAAACCCACGACCTCCTGTATACCAGGCGAAGTAGTTAACATTTCACCATCATGGCGCATCTTAGGAAACTCAAGCTGTCATCTCGGCAGACTTGTAATTAATTTATCTCTAGTTGATGTTCTGTCACTGAAGCGCCTGCCTATCGCTTCTTCTTAATGGGGCCTCCTGGATTGGAGTCTCCTGCGATGGGAGCTGTGATATTTGATATTCACCAGCGAGTCTTCCAACATTGGATTTTCAATTCGACGGATGAGTTTCAACGTCTCCAAATCCACACCGCCACCTCGTAATAATGTCCCTCGGCATCGAGCTTTCGCAATTCGAGGGGTGGATGTTGACTCCTCCATCACTGCAACTTGGTGAAGGTGGAGGAGGCCTTCATCCAGCAGTGGATTGATCCTGGTGGCTGATTGTGGGGCTGCCGCTGATGCTGATGATGATGACGCTTTAATTGTCATCGTGACTGCCGCGTGAATGTTCTGATACATGAAATGTATTTTCTGGGTCTGTCTTCTCAATGGGAGTCGTGAGCTTTGAGCGTCTCGAGGTCTCCTCCCCGCACGGCTGCTCAATGGGATTCTTCTCCCATGGAGTCTTCTGTGAACCCCATGCGTGACGAGCCTTCACCCACGGCATCTCCTCTCCCACCTGTGTCAATCCCCGAGGTGTTATTCTTATTTCCCTCTCTCTTCCTATTTGTCCCAAATTGCCCCATCGTTCCTGGCCCCTTTGTTTTCCATTGTTCTAAGTTGTCCCATTGTTCCTGCTGTTTTTGTTCTTTGTCCCATTGTTCACAGTCGTATTGTTCCTGCTATCTCCATTGTCGTTATCTCCTCTGTCCCCGATTCCCTTGTTACGGTACTGATCTTCTCTTATATTCGTGTGCTTCTACCTCCCCCGTTGTTTTCATGGTGACTCCATTGTCCCGTTATTCTCATTGCGTTCAGTTCCATTGTTACCGCAGTCGTTCCCACCAACTGTTGTCTCGCTTTTGTTTTTCCCTTTGTGCCCATGCGGTGGTGCAGCGGTTAGCGCTACGCTGCGCTACAAACCCGTCGACACGAGTTCGATTCCCGCTCACGGCCAACACCAGTGACGATTATCTGCACCGGTCTTGGGCCTCTCCTAGGTCGACTCAGCCTCAAATGAGTACCTGGTGCGGTGTGCAAACATCGCCACTGGGGAGACAAAGGCGGTGCTCGCTAACAGCACTTGCCCCAAGAGTCTGTTAAGGCTTTACGGGGGATCTTTGTCTTTGCGGGGAGGGGGTGGGGGGACAGCGATGTGCCTGGGTGGACCCTGGAAACTGGTCACCGCGATGATTGTGTTGTTCTGCTGTTGTGTTGTCGTTTTGTTTGATGTTTATGTTAAGTTTTTCGGTGTCGCGTTGCGTGCTGAGATCATTTCCGCCGCGCGTCAAAAGCAAAGAAATAAAAATTATAATTGCACACGTGGGGGAAAAAACACGCACGTGTAAAATGACTCGTCATCACTGTGGTGCCGGATACAACACTGCGGGTAGAGGAGATGGTTCGGGTGGCTCGATGTCAGATCGTTGAGCCGGCGCCGCTGAGGTATTGGCCGCTCTGCGATCCGTGATTGCAAACTAAAACTAAAAACGAAGCTATTTTAGTTTCACCAGGTAAGGTCCACCAGGTAAGGTCCACCAGGTAAGGTCCACCAGGTAAGGTCCACTGCGGTGTGTAGCGCTTTTTCAGACGTGACCTGACCTGACCACAAATGATAGCTCAACCAATTGGCTTTGGTGTGGTATTGCTGTGGTATCGCCTGCCCGTGTGATGTCTGATATTCTGAAGAAAAAAAAACGAGTCCAATATCGCTGTGGTGATGGCCCGGTCTCGCTGCCCATCGATGACATCGTCCGCTTGAGACGCATCCGCCCTGCTGGCAGGTCGCAAGAACGGAGGACGACTCCCGCACACCCCGCACACCCCGCACACCCCGCACACTCCGCACACCCCGTACACCCTGCACACCCCGTACACCCCGTACACCCTGCACACCCCTACACCCTGCACACCCTGTACACCCCGTACACACTGCACACCCCGCACACCCCGCACACTCCGCACACCCCGTACACCCTGCACACTCCGCACACCCCGTACACCCTGCACACCCCTACACCCTGCACACCCTGTACACCCTGCACACCCCGTACACACTGCACACACCGTACACCCTGCACACCCCTACACCCCGTACACCCTGCACACCCCGCACACCCCGTACACCCTGCACACCCCTACACCCTGCACACTCCGCACACCCCGTACACCTTGCACACTCCGCACACCCCGCACACCCCGTACACACTGCACACCCTGCACACACCGTACACCCCGTACACACTACACACACTGCACACCCCGCACACCCTGCACACCCCGCACACCCCGTACACACTGCACACACTGCACACCCTGCACACCCCGCACACACCGTACACCCCGCACACCCCGCACACACCGTACACCCCGCACACCCTGCACACACCGTACACCCCGCACACCCTGCACACACTACACACACCGCACACCCCGCACACCCTGCACACACCGTACACCCTGCACACACTACACACCCTGCACACCCCGTACACCCCGCACACCCCGTACACACTGCACACCCCTGAGGTCACGTGGCTGCCTCGCTCCAGCGCGGCGTTGTCGTTCTGGAGACGCCTGAGCTCGACGGTAGATGTTCGGTCGCCACTTTGGTGGCATTCGTCGTGATGTCATCACTTTAACGACGGAGTGGGGCCGCGTGAAGGCTGCCCATCTGGTTGACGTCACAGGGCCTTGTGAGCCACGTGCCTCTGATGACGATGATCCGACTGGTCATATTCTTTGGTTCTTTCGGTCAAGTCACGTAGGAAAAAAAGTGAATAAAAATAAAAAAACCACTAATGTAGACTGTAGCCTGGTTCTCAATCTGAGTGAGTGTACTTGCAGTCTATAATGTAGACTGTAGCCTGGTTCTTAACCTTAGTGAGCGTACTGGCAGTCTATAATGTAGACTGTAGCCTGGTTCTTAACCTTAGTGAGCGTACTGGCACTCTATAATGTAGACTGTAGCCTGGTTATTAACCTGAGTGAGCGTACTGGCAGTCTATAATGTAGACTGTAGCCTGCATCTTAACCTTGGTGAGTACTGCCAGTCTATAATGTAGCCTGTAGCCTGCATCTTAACCTCGGTGAGCGTACTGGCAGTCTATAATGTAGACTGTAGCCTACATCTTAACCTCGGTGAGCGTACTGACAGTCTATAATGTAGACTGTAGCCTGCATCTTAACCTCGGTCAGCGTACTGGCAGTCTATAATGTAGACTGTAGCCTGTAGCCGGCATCTTAACCTCGGTGAGCGTACTGACAGCCTATAATGTAGACTGTAGCCTGCATCTTAACCTCAGTGAGTGTACTGGCAGTCTATAATGTAGACTGTAGCCTGGATCTTAACCTTGGTGAGTGTACTGACAGTCGATAATGTAGACTGTAGCCTGGTCATGTCGACGAACATTCATCTCGGTAGCAGAGCGCACGGGGAAATGCAGCGGAGCTCGCGTGGATCGGAGGTGGACATCTGAAGGAATTCGGATGTCCACCTCCGCGACTGGTGCAATTCTTTCCGAGATGAGGATGAAATTGGCGTAAATTGCTGAAATGAATGTGGGTAGCGCCACTTTGAGGAATCGGTGGTGATGGGTTTTTTTTCCTGTGGATATATATCCTGATCCACGCCATAATAACGTGGAGTGTCTACCATCGTAGCACATCGGTGGCAACCAAGTTTAACTCGTAATGCTTGAATGGGTTGTTATGCACCTGAGCATGCTTAGAATACGAGGTACATCCACATTAGCATCATTGCCAACAACATGATCGCATCTCTAACGAAACATTCCACTCGCTCCTTGTCATAATCATCGCTTTAATGAGTCATCAGCATCACGACGATCCCCATCATAATCCCACCCTGCTCCGCGACACGTGCAGTTTCTGATGAAACCATCTTCATCCTCACCCTCCATCATCATCGACACCCTCCATCCTCACCCTCCCATCATCCTCCATCCTCACCCTCCATCATCATCCTCACCCTCCATCATCATCCTCACCCTCCATCCTCACCCTCCCATCATCATCATCATCCTCCATCCTCACCCTCCATCATCATCCTCACCCTCCATCATCTTCCTCACCCTCCATCCTCACCCTCCCATCATCATCATCCTCCATCCTCACCCTCCATTATCATCATCGCCCTCCATCATCATCCTCACCCTCCATCATCCTCACCCTCCATCATCATCCGTGATGATAGAATCGCCCTCTTGTCTTCCACCGTGCACCAACACAGCTCGCGCTGGGGACGTCTCGAGTTCGTCAAATTCCTCTCCGATCACAGCGCGCGTTTGCGACTCTCGTGTCGCGCGTGTCCGATGTCCTCGTCGTGGATCGTTGAATCTCTCCGTGTGGAGTTTGAAGTTACCCCTCGTTTACGATTGGCGGGTTTCCCCCAACCCCCACACGAAGCCAAACTCGTGGATTTCTTGGCAGGGTCCTCCTGCACAAAGACGCATTGAGACTCATCGAGGCCATTTCCAGGGCAAGTAAGTCGAGGAGGTTTATTGAATCATGGCTGCTGAGCCACAGCGCCCGAAGACCCGACACGCAGAGCGGCCAGAGACAAGCGTGCAATAGGCACACGGGAGAGATTGTGCTATTATTGTATTAGGCTGAAAATAATCGCAACTCGGTGGCTGCCGAGTGCAGAAGAAGCTGAATCGGCAGAATTCAATTTGCAATCACAGAAAGCGTTCATTGGTGAGGGATTCGAACCTCGGATCGATGGCGAATTAATCGATTATTAGTTCACGGTTCAGAGGTCCACATCCCATGGCGAGCGTGTCAGCCGTCGGTGCGTAACGGAGCGCGCGTGACTCGAATCGATTTCGCGTGCCGCCGGGCGCTGTCGCTTCGACAGCGCAAGGCAACGACGACGCTGCGTCATCATCATTATTCGACCTCCTTTGCCAGTACCAAAATGTAACAATAGGGGTTTTCCCCTTTTTTCTGGCAACAAAACTGAAACCTTTTGACGAGGATTCATGTTGCTGCATTAACCACAATACCTGCAGTCAAAATGCAAACAAAAAAAAACATACTATGATAATATTTGATGCATTGTCCTTGAAACTTCTGGCGTCATCTAGTCGAGCACCAATTGGGTCGAGGCTCAAAAGAAAACCGTCCCTTGGTGTGGACTAATGAGTTTCAAGGACAATGCATATATTATCATAGTAGGTTTTTTGTTTGCATTTTGACTGCAGGTATTGTGGTTAATGCAGACATTAATCCTTGTAAGAAAGGTTTCAGTTTTGTTCCCAGAAAAAAGGGGAAAACCCCTATTATGACGCTGCGTTAGTGTCAAGGTAGGGGCGAAGTTGCTGCCGCTGTTTGTGTGATCCCAATTGGGTTATTTCTGCGGTGTCATTTTTAGAATTCGGACCTTTGACGCCGGCACACAATGGCCTGCGCCTGTCGAGTGACCGCCACAATATCGTTAGCGTCCACTGCGAAGGAGACGGCGCGTCGTCGCAGTAGTAGCAGAAGTTGCATGTTGCCGTTAATACAACCGCAGTGTTAACCAGTGCGGCCAGCCGCTTCGAGCCGCGAACCGCTGCAGGAAGCGGCGAACGCGCTGCCCGCTGGGCCCTATCACCTCGCCCCAAACTATGGCCACCTCCTGCACGTGACTGTTGTGATATTAAGCGACGGTGCAGTAGGTGCACGTGACTACGCATGACCACCTGTAGTTGCACGTGACTACTCGTGACTGAACACCTGTGGCTGTACGTGACTATGCGTTGTAGGTGTAGGTGATTACTTCGCCTCCCACGCAGCGCAGAGCCACCTCGCGGAGTGCAGGGGAGTGGCTTCGGCTCCCGGGAGAGAGCGCGGAGAGGAGGGAGAGCCGAGAGAGCGGGGACAGGAGATAGGGGAGAGCGGAGGACAGGCGGGAGAGTGGGGAGAGCAGATCGGAGGGAGGGGAGGAGATTTTGGGTGGATGGGAAGGGGGAAGATGGGAGACCGAGGAACAGACAGGCAAGGGAGCGCAGGGGAGATGAGAAGGAGAGGAGGCGGGCTGAGGTATTGGAGACGGAACCTGGTGGGGAGAGAAGGACGCCATGTAGGCGAGAGGGGAGGAGAAGCAAGAGAGCGGAAAGGGGATACGCGACAGAGATGCCGACGATGATGGGCAGCGTGAGAGGGGAGAGTAAAGACGGGAGGAGATCGTCGTCGAGAGGCGGGAGAGCGGGGGGGAGAGGTACGAGACGGGGTCGGGCAGGCGGAGACGGAGCGAGTTCGCCCAGGAGGGTGACGACTCGGACAGGGAGAGCGCGTTTGACGGGAGCGGCAGGTCAGAGGTCAGAGGTCGAGCGGCGGAGGCGAGGAGACCGGACGGAGCTGGCAGTCAGTCGCGGGAGGAGCGCATGAGCATGCGCGTCGGGGAGTCGTAGGAGCCCCTCCGGCGCGGGGAGCCCTCGGCCCCCTCCACTCGAGGCCCCCACGGCTGCGGCTGCTGCTGCTGCTGGGACTCGGCAAGGGCCGGGAGCTCGGAGTCGCTGAGGCGGGAGACGCGGGACCTGCGGCGGGCGACGCGAGCTTCGCGGGAGGCGAGGGCGAGGCGGCGCTCGGGGCTCGTGAGCAGCGAGACGATGAAGCGAGGGAGCTGCGGGAGGCACGGGGAGAGGGAGGGGGGGAGGAGACGTGGGGGGGGGGGGGGTACAGGGGAGGCACGGGGAGAGGGAGGGGGGGGGAGGAGGAGACGTGGGGGGGAGGCACGGGGACACGAGGAGGGAGCGACAACACACGAGGAGTCACGGGCAGGAGACGGGGATGGAGAGGGGGTGAGCACACACAGACAAAGATCCCCCGTGTAGCCGAAGCAGATTGTTGGGCCAAGTGCCGTTCGCGAGTAGCGCCTATTAAGGCCGGCGCGGCACACGAAGGGGCTGGTGGTGGCGTCAATATCACTTATTATTATAATTATTATTATTAAGTAATTTGATAATTAACTCCCCCACCCCCCACGACAGCCGCACTGAATCGTAGGATTATTTTCCAGGAGGAAGCTGCTGCTACTAAATTGAGGTTTTTATTTGTTTTTATGTTTTCAGTCGATGAACGACAATCAGTCGTGTTTGTTTATTATTCACGTGGGAGGAGGAAACGCCACCGCCTTGGGCGAAGGGGCAACGCTATATCCCCGTCAAGACGGAATAAACAGATGGCGATTTATGTATGTTGAACTTCTTTCGCACCGTATGTAGCCAACCGGGCTGATCGGAGGTGCGTGGAAGGACAACAAACTAATCACTTGCTGGCGAGCCAGATGTGTGGGTCCTCCGCGACGCCCACGACGGAAGGGAGTTTCACAACATTCATGCGGTGATCCACCAACGCTCGCTACTGCCTCGACAGCAGCGCTGGGTTACAGGCAGCCACGAGCAACGGCGTAGCCACCACCACCACCGCTACCCGGCGACATAACAGTCGGTGTGAACGCGTCGGGAGTGAGTGTATTGCAGGTTCGAGTCTGGCTAAGGTGAGGTTCTCAGGTGAGGCTCTCAGGTGAGGCTCTCAGGTGAGGCTTCCAGGTGTGTGGTGATTGATTGACAGAGGAACGACCGAGCGAATCTCTCCGAGTCATCATCACTCATCCATCACCCCGTAAAATTCACTCCGTGGATCCCGAGTGTAACATTCAACTCGGGTTCTTACCCGCTGCACACACTCGGGACCCCCTGTACACACTCGGGACCCCCTGTACACACTTGGGACCCCTGCATACACATGGGACCCCCTGCACACGCACGGGACCCCCCTGTACACACACTCGGGACCCCCTGTACACACACTCGGGACCCCCTGTACACACTCGGGACCCCCTGTACACACACTCGGGACCCCCTGTACACACTCGGGACCCCCTGTACACACTCGGGACCCCCTGTACACGCACGGGACCCCCTCGCGGAGTAAGAGAGACAGGTGCGAGAGATCCGGTTTGCAAGCAGGGGGTTTATTCTGACAGAAGGAGTAGCGCCCCCCCCCCCCCCCCGTGCGAACCCACAGCACAGGCATCGCGCGGGCATCACCAGGAGGGGGGGGGGAGGGTCACGTGGCGAGGGGCATCGGCGTTGATTACACGCGGGGGTGGTGATTTTTATTGATTACACAATCCGGTGGTGGGTATGGTGATTTTGATTGATTACACAATCTGGTGGTGAGTATGATAATTTTGATTGATTACACGATCTAGTGGTGGTAGTTATGGTGATTTGGATTGATTACACAATCTGGTGGTAGGTATGGTGATTTGGATTGATTTCACGATATAGTGGTGGTAGGTATGGTGATTTGGATTGATTACACAATCTGGTGGTGGGTATGGTGATTTGGATTGATTACACGATCTGGTGGTGGGTATGGTGATTTGGATTGATTACACGATCTAGTGGTGGGTATGGTGATTTGAATTGATTACACGATCTAGTGGTGGGTATGGTGATTTGGATTGATTACACGATCTGGTAGTGGGTAAGGTGATTTGGATTGATTACACGATCTGGTGGTGGGTATGGTGATTTGAATTGATTACACGATCTGGTGGTGGGTATGGTGATTTGGATTGATCACACAATCTGGTGGTGGGTATGGTGATTTGGATTGATTAAACGATCTGGTGGTGGGTATGGTGATTTGAATTGATTACACGATCTGGTAGTGGATAAAGTGATTTGGATTGATTACACGATCTGGTGGTGGGTATGGTGATTTCAATTGATTACACGATCTGGTGGTGGGTATGGTGATTTGGATTGATTACACGATCTGGTGGTGGTTATGGTGATTTGGATTGATTACACGATCTGGTGGTGGGTATGGTGATTTGGATTGATCACACGATCTGGTGGTGGGTATGGTGATTTGGATTGATTACACGATCTGGTGGTGGGTATGGTGATTTGGATTGATTACACGATCCAGTGGTGGGTATGGTGATTTGGATTGAAAGCCCACTGAGCTTTCTAGCTCTTTCTCAGAAGCGACCTGGCCACAAACGATAGCTCAAATTAAATGGCTTATCACGTGGAAATATATCGCAGCCAAATACTCTGAACGCGTGGTGATGTCGATTCAGGATGTGGAGGGAAAAATCCGGAGTGCCCGGAGAAAAATCGACGCACCCGCGGGGGCAGAGACACACCGCAAACTCCAAATATACAGCAGGCGTCAGGATTGTACACCAGGCAATGCAGTTAGCGTCTCGGCACCAACATCCAGGCTGACGTCCATCCCAACAAGGAAGAACAATCGTGCGTACGCATGGAGCTGATTTCGAGATCGAGACGTGGAGGGACAGCTTCACTCATTTTGTTACAAGTTCACACCGGGTCACCTTGACGACAGTTAGCGCGACGCCGCATCCGCACACCCCCCTCTCCCTCTGCCCGCCCCTCAGTCCCCCCCCCCTCCCCTCCACCACGTCGCCACGGATGGACCGCTAAACTTAAAAACTAAGCTTTTATTTTTAATCAACTAAGGTCCACTCAGATGTTTTTCAGAAGCGACCTGGCCACAAAGTAGCTCATCATCATCATCATCACGTGAACATCATTGCAGTAGCCAAATCCACGCGACCACGGAGAGATATGCGAACTCCAAATATACAACAGGCGTCAGGGTCGGGACCTGGCCCACGACCTCCTGCATACCAGGCGAGATAGTTAACATCTCTTAGCCACCGCTGGCGCCGGGGCACCCTCAGGTCTAGAAGGTGTTCGCCCTGAAACGTCTGCGCATGGCGATGTCTCGCTCCATGGCGCGCTCCCACGAGGCAAGCGCTTGGCTCTCGCCTCCTCCGGGCGCCTCCCCGCGACTCCCCACGGCGTTGCGCAGCCCGAACTGCGGACCTACCAGCCAGCTGAGCGGGGTGTTGTGCACCAGGTGCTCGGGGATGGTGATCGCCAGGCGGCGGGCGACGCGCGCCGCGCCCACGCCTGCGCCCAAGGCGCCCCGCGTCGCGCTCCACGCGAGCCCCGCCCCGCGCAGCCAAACGCGCGCCGCCCGCATCGACACCCTGCGGGCGGGAGAGACGCACGGGGGAGAGACCCACGGGGAGAGACGCACGGGGAGAGACGCACGGGGGAGAGACGCACGGGGAGAGACGCACGGCGAGAGACGCACGGGGAGAGACCCACGGGGGAGAGACGCACGGGGAGAGACGCACGGGGGAGAGACCCACGGGGGAGAGACGCACGGGGAGAGACGCACGGGGAGAGACCCACGGGGGAGAGACGCACGGGGAGAGACGCACGGGGGAGAGACGCACGGGGAGAGACGCACGGGGAGAGACCCACGGGGGAGAGACGCACGGGGGAGAGACGCACGGGGGAGAGACGCACGGGGAGAGCATGAGTGAGATACGCGGGACTAGTTGTTTTGGGGGGGGGGGGGTTAGACCGCGTAAATATGAATGTGTCGTTGAACGCGCCACCACCCGGCACAGGCAATTAGTAAAGTTGGCACGTTTTGTATTGTGCTCCCCACCTCCCTTAGTGCCCCAACCCTCTCTAGTGCCCCCCACCCTCCGTAGTGCCCCCCACCCTCTCTAGTGCCCCCCACCCTCCTGAGTGCCCCCCACCCTCCTGAGCGTGCCCCCCACCCCCACTGCTGACTGACCTGACAGTCGCCATCTGAACTCGGAGGGCCATGCGGGGAATCGCCACGGAGATGCCCAGCACCACTTTGGAGGCGTTGAAGGTCTTGACGGTGGCAATCAGCCAGACCCCCGCGGCCCCCTTCGCCACCCCGAGCGCCGCCTGCAGGACCCCCACGGCGCGGCGAGACAGCAGCCACACCCCGCGGTCCGGGTGCTGGGGGTCCCGGGGTGCCAGAGGGTGGAAGAGACAGCCAAGGAGGCTATTAAGAACCACTTCTCACGGCCGATGCCACTGCTGGATTGCACGTGTGGCGAGCCTCTTTCGCGCCGTACGTAGCCGACGGTGCCAATCGGAGGTGCGGGGGAAGGACAACAAACTAAACACGAGAAGCAGTTCTAGAGATATTAAGTGTTCAATCTCGATTATTATTAAAAGTGCATGGCTCCAGTGGCTTCCGAATATTGTGAGGAAGAGCGTTGCCGGTGGTGCACAAGCACAGTTAACAACTCAACACTTCCCGTGACAATAACACAGTGGCCTTAAAAGGAGGCGACGTTTCGGGCAATAGCCCTTCGCAGCGCATTATGAACCAAGCACTGCGGGGTGGTGGTGGTGGTAGTGGGTGCGGTGGTGTGCGCCTGTGATGCAGCGCTTTGGAGGCAAGGGTTGGTGAATCACGCAGCGACATCCACAATGTAGCCGGACCATCTGCGCGTGCACCCGTTCGTATGTATCGTGTGGGGGAGGAACTGGTCATGGGCCTCCCCTAGGACGACTCGGCCTGAAACGAGAAATCCGGTGCGGTGTGTGCCGCACTTGCCCCAGCAGCCTTGTGTGGGCTACACGGGGGACCTTTGTCTTTGTTGCCTACGCATGTAACAAAGACAAAGATCCCCCGTATTGCCTCAACAGACTGTACGAGCAAGTGCTGTTTGCGAGCACCTATGAAGGCCGGCACGGCACACACGAGGGGGTGGGTGAGCAACACCACGCCCGACCGCCTTTGTCTCCCCAGCGGCGATGTTTACTACACACCGCACCAGGTACTCAATTTGAGACTGAGTCAACCTAGGGGAGGCCCGGGACCGTTTCAGACAATCGTCACTGGTTGTTGGTCGTGAGCGGGAATCGAACCCGGGTCGCCAGGTTCGTAGCGCAGCGTAGCGCTCACCGCTTCACGCACGCGCACGCACGCGCACGCACACGCGCGCACGCGCACGTACCAGCCCCAGGGACGTGAGCAGCGCGCGGGGCACGCGCGCGCCCCGCGCGGCGAGCGCGCGCGCGCGCCGCGATCCGCGCCGCGTCACCCGCGTGAGCAGCACGGCGGTGCGCACCCCCAGCCCCGCCTCCTTCCGCGGGGGGGGCGCCGCTCCCCCGCCCTCATCCTGGGCCCCCCCCGAGCCGTCCACAGCGCCCCCGTCCTTCCCTGGGAACGGAATGACGCGCGGCGGGGGGCGGGGGGGGACTCCGATTACGACGGTGATGGACGCATCTCTAGATCTCGCTGAACGCGACAGGTAACCAACCCACATCCCAGGCGCCACGCACACAGATGCATGCTGCCAGCAGTTATGTGATGGTGGTCTAAGCACCGTGACTGGCCGTGCGCGCGGGGAGGGGGGCATGCCCCCCCCTACAAATGGTCGTGATCGATCTGAGTTGGTTGTGATGGACCAACCCCCTCTTCAGCCCCCTCCCTCCACTCTTCTAAACTTGGTCACACCCTCCCTAATCCTCCTCCCTCCCTTCGTCCTCCCCTCCCTGCACCATCGCCCCCTCCATGCACAAACACCTCCTCCTCTACTCTTTGTTTTTTTTCGGTAAAGTCACGTATGAATAAGAAATAATAAAATAACATAATAGCGTACGACGTTTCGGTTGCAACACAAGCAGCCATCATCAGGTATAGAAGAGCTAAATTTACGAGAGAGGGGAAACACATAACCTCAGATTTATATACAGACACCCAAGTAGGGGCAACTAACACAGATACAACAGGGGACACAGAGAGAGAAGCGTACCAGACAAACAGGGTTTAGCAAAATTTTGGAAACCATATAGAGCAACACAGACGGTCGGTCAAAACACAATTAACGCATAGTCCGGTTGATCACGCTATTTCAAAGATTGCTAAATTGCAAGTTAAGTATGAAACTCAAAATACAGACCGCACACACACACACACATAGACATCCAAGTAGAGCGAACCAGCACAGAGACAAGCACACAGTAAAGTCGCCTTAAATAGGCAGAGAAGGTAAGGCTGAGAGACAATGGGACAAATCAGCATGAGGTATGCATGGAGCAAAGTGGCAGCACACACTCGGAAACACCAAGGCCCACACACAGGCAAGAGACAGCACAGAGACACAAATCCAAGCCAAGACACAAAGGCAGATACACAAGCAGAGACAACACCATCACCCCCTCCCTGCACCATCACCCCCTCCCTGCACCATCACCCCCTCCCTGCACCATCACCCCCTCCCTGCACCATCACCCCCTCCCTGCACCATCACCCGCTCCCCTCCCTGCACCATCACCCCCTCCCCTCCCTGCACCATCACCCCCTCCCCTCCCTGCACAATCACCCCCTCCCTGTACCATCCCCCCCTCCCTCCACCATCACCCCTTCCCCTCCCTGCACCATCACCCCTCCCTGCACCATCATCCCCTCCCCTCCCTGCACCATCACCCCCTCCCTGCACCATCACCCCCTCCCTGCACCATCCCCCCCTCCCTGCACCATCACCCGCTCCCCTCCCTGCACCATCACCCCCTCCCCTCCCTGCACCATCACCCCTTCCCCTCCCTGCACCATCACCCCTCCCTGCACCATCATCCCCTCCCCTCCCTGCACCATCACCCCCTCCCTGCACCATCACCCCTCCCTGCACCATCACCCCCTCCCCTCCCTCCATCATCACCCCCCTCCCTGCACCATCACCCCTCCCTGCACCATCACCCCCTCCCTGCACCATCACCCCCTCCCTGCACCATCACCCCCTCCCTGCACCATCACCCCCTCCCTGCACCATCCCTCCCTCCTTGCACCATCACCCCCTCCCCTCCCTGCACCATCACCCCCTCCCCTCCCTGCACCATCACCCCCTCCCCTCCCTGCACCATCACCCCCTCCCCTCCCTGCACCATCACCCCCTCCCTGCACCATCACCCCCTCCCTGCACCATCACCCCCTCCCTGCACCATCACCCCCTCCCTGCACCATCACCCGCTCCCCTCCCTGCACCATCACCCCCTCCCCTCCCTGCACCATCACCCCCTCCCCTCCCTGCACAATCACCCCCTCCCTGTACCATCCCCCCCTCCCTCCACCATCACCCCTTCCCCTCCCTGCACCATCACCCCTCCCTGCACCATCATCCCCTCCCTGCACCATCACCCCCTCCCTGCACCATCACCCCCTCCCTGCACCATCCCCCCCTCCCTGCACCATCACCCGCTCCCCTCCCTGCACCATCACCCCCTCCCCTCCCTGCACCATCACCCCTTCCCCTCCCTGCACCATCACCCCTCCCTGCACCATCATCCCCTCCCCTCCCTGCACCATCACCCCCTCCCTGCACCATCACCCCTCCCTGCACCATCACCCCCTCCCCTCCCTCCATCATCACCCCCTCCCTGCACCATCACCCCTCCCTGCACCATCACCCCCTCCCTGCACCATCACCCCCTCCCTGCACCATCACCCCCTCCCTGCACCATCACCCCCTCCCTGCACCATCCCTCCCTCCTTGCACCATCACCCCCTCCCCTCCCTGCACCATCACCCCCTCCCCTCCCTGCACCATCACCCCCTCCCCTCCCTGCACCATCACCCCCTCCCCTCCCTGCACCATCACCCCCTCCCTGCACCATCACCCCCTCCCTGCACCATCACCCCCTCCCTGCACCATCACCCCCTCCCCTCCCTGCACCATCACCCCCTCCCCTATCTGCACCATCACCCCCTCCCTGCACCATCCCCCCCTCCCTGCACCATCACCCCCTCCCCTATCTGCACCATCACCCCCTCCCTGCACCATCCCCCCCTCCCTGCACCATCACCCCTCCCCTCCCTGCACCATCACCCCCTCCCTGTACCATCCCCCCCTCCCTGCACCATCACCCCTTCCCCTCCCTGCACCATCACCCCCTCCCTGCACCATCCCCCCCTCCCTGCACCATCACCCCCTCCCCTCCCTGCACCATCACCCCCTCCCCTATCTGCACCATCACCCCCTCCCTGCACCATCACCCCCTCCCTGCACCATCACCCCCTCCCTGTACCATCCCCCCCTCCCTGCACCATCACCCCTTCCCCTCCCTGCACCATCACCCCCTCCCTCCACCATCACCCCTCCCTGCACCATCATCCCCTCCCTGCACCATCACCCCCTCCCTGCACCATCACCCCTTCCCCTCCCTGCACCATCCCCCCCTCCGTCCCCCCTTCACCTGTCCGCCTCTCGATGGCGCGGCTGCTGCTGCTGCTGCTGGTCGCGTCGTCTTCCTCCTCGTCGCCCGTGTCCGGGAGGTAGCACTCGAGCGCCATCTCCGCGCGGCTCAGCGTGAGGTCCGCGACCGCGTGCGCCACTTCGCCCACCTTGGTGCTCATCAGCGCGCCCAGGCCGGCCGCGGCGAGGCCGCGCGCCGACTCCACGGCCACGGAGCCCGCGTCCAAGGCGCGCGCCATTACCTATGGGAGAGGGGGTGGGGGAGGAGGGACGATGGGGAGATGGGAAGGTAGGTGGAGATGGGACGATGGGAAGGTTGGTGGAGATGGGACGATGGGAAGGTAGGTGGAGATGGGACGATGGGAAGATGGGAAGGTAGGTGGAGATGGGACGATGGGAAGGTATGTGGAGATGGGACGATGGGAAGGTAGGTGGAGATGGGACGATGGGAAGATGGGAAGGTAGGTGGAGATGGGACGATGGGAAGGTAGGTGGAGATGGGGAGATGGGGAGATGAGAAGGTAGGTGGAGATGGGACGATGGGAAGGTAGGTGGACATGGGACGATGGGAAGGTAGGTGGACATGGGACGATGGGAAGGTAGGTGGACATGGGAGGAGATGGGGAGATGGGGAGATGAGAAGGTAGGTGGAGAGGATGAGATGGGAAGGTTGGTGGAGAGGATGAGATGGGAAGGTAGGTGGAGATGGGGAGATGGGGAGATGAGAAGGTAGGTGGAGATGGGACGATGGGAAGGTAGGTGGAGATGGGACGATGGGAAGGTAGGTGGAGATGGGAGGAGATGGGGAGATGAGAAGGTAGGTGGAGATGAGGATATGGGAGGAGATGGAGAGAGGGAAGGTTGGTAGAGAGGAGGAAAGGAGGAGATGGGAGGAGGAGATTGAGAGAGGAGTGAGGGGGAAGTTTGGTGGAGAGGAAGGACATGAGAAATGTCAGCTGAGGACCAGTCGAGGTAGGTCAGTTTAACTCTAGCAGTAGTAGCAGTACTCGTGTGTAACTGGAGTAAGTGGATCACTCAGTGCCTTGATAGAGAACAAACTCATTGGCGATACTGCTGCTACATTGGCAGTGGGGCAGTGGGGCACACAAAACAACAGACCTCAACACATTCCTCACTCAAGGTGGAAACATTAAAAATGCCAAAAATATACAACAGGTGACATTTCGGACAAAGACCCTTCTTAATACCCCTGATGCGCTATGAAGAAGCGCCATTGCCCGAAACGTCGGATATTACATGTTTGTAATTTTCAAGCAAAGATCCCCCGCGTAGCCTTGAACAGACTGTTGGGGAAAGTGCTGTTAGCGAGCACCTAAGAGGGCCGGCGGCACGGCACATGGGGGGCTGGGTTGAGCCAGCACCACACCCGGCCGCCTTTGTCTCCCCAATGATGATGTTTACACACCGCACCAGGTACTCATTTGTGGCCGAGTCGACCGAGCGGAGCCCCAGGACCGTTTTCAGAAAATCGTCACCGGTGTTGGCCGTGGGCGGGAATCGAACTCGGGTCGCTGGGTTTGTAGCGCAGCGTAGCGCTCACCGCTCCAGGCTGTAGCCAGCCCCCAGGCTGTAGCCCAGGCTGTGGCCCAGGCTGTAGCCCAGGCTGTAGCCCAGGCTGTCGCCTGCCCAGGCTGTAGCCCAGGCTGTAGCCCAGGCTGTAGCCCAGGCTGTAGCCCAGGCTGTAGCCCAGGCTGTAGCCCAGGCTGTAGCCCAGGCTGTAGCCTGTGGGGCTGTCGCCTGCCTCGGCTACAGCGCCGTCGCGCAACCATCGGCGGATTGGGGAGGAACGTCGCGTCGACAAGACGCGCGACTTCCCCACCTCAAGGGGATCTATAATAGCGCCTTGGTTAAGGCGCTACGTGCGAATGTCGTTGTGGAGATGAGGTGAATGAAATCAGGTGAGAGGACACATCTGTGAATTCGGTGAAAGCGAAATTGAAGAGAGTAGATCGTGATGATGATGATGGATGAAGAGGCAACAGTAACGGTGGCGGGTTATTAAAGGGGTCGTGGGGTGAGCTAGGGAAGAATCAGTGCGGTTTGAGTGAGGAGCGGGAACTTGTGACTTGGACTTTGCACGGACATGGTCGGACGGGGTCTATGGACGAGACTCGGGACGGAGTGACAGCCAAATTGAGGGGAGCGCGCGTGATGGAACGGCGGCAATGAGATCGCCTCGCTTTGCGGGAGTGGCTAGGAGATGTTAACTACCTCGCCTGGTATACAGGAGGTCTTGGGTTCGATCCCGACCCTGACCACGCCTGCTGCTGCTGTATATTTGGAGTTTGCGGTGTCTCTCTCCCCGTGGTCGCGTGGATTTTTCTCCGGGTCCTCCGGTTTTTCCCCCTCCACGTTTAGAAACACGCGGTTAGATTATTTGGTTGCTATACGTTTCCACACGATAAGCCACTTTCGTGAGCTATCATTTGCGGCCAGGTGGCTTCTGAGAAAAAAGAGCCACATAGCTCAGTGGGGCCTTACCTGGTAAAACATAAAATATGTTTAGCTTACATGTGGATGGTATCAGCGGCGGATGGTGACGGCACGCTGACAGCATTCATCCAGCAGTAGATAGACACTGAGAATGATGAATGGGATCGCCCACGTCACTTGCCCCGCCCCTCCCCTCCCCCCTAGACTCCCTCCCCCCGCCCCCCGCCTCCCATCGCCCTCCCCCCGCCCCTCGTCCCATTCCCCATCACCCTCCCCCCGCCCCTCACCTACCTCCCCCCCCCGCCCCCTTCCCCCCGCTCCTACCCCCTCCCCTCGCCCTTTCCCCCCCCGCCCCTCTCACCTTTTCAGGAGTCTGGTGCAGCATGGGCACGCGCTCCTCGATGGCGTCCAGGCCCAGGCACGCGATGTCATTGGCGAAGGCGACTGCGGCGCGGTGCGTCGTGATTGGCGGGATGAGTCGGGGGGGGTGTTGGGGGAGGGGGCAGCGGTTAGAAAGATCGGAATGTTTATTTATACACTGGAGAAATCCGACGAGCTGTAAAGCTCTTTTTCACCGATGCCCATTAGGTTAAAACGGCCACACTTGCCAAGAGGAGACGCACACGTGCATACAATAACCCAATGCACAAGTGGTTAACATTGTATCGGCATAGAAAGAGGAATAAGATTTAATAATAGGGGTTTTCCCCTTTTTTTCTGCAAACAAAACTGAAACCTTTTTACAAGGATTAATGTTACTGCATTAACCACAATACCTGCAGTCAAAATGCAAACAAAAAACATACTATGATAAAAACATGCATTGTCCTTGAAACTGATTGGTCCACACCAAGGGACGGCTTTCTTTTGAGCCTCGAAACCAGATGACGCCAAAAGGCGTCACACAGCTCAAAGACAATGCCGCTGTCAAAGTAATGAGGGCTCGGGGTTGAACATCTACATCATTAGACCTCCTTGGCCAGTACAAGGATTCATGCAGACATGAATCCTTGTAAAAAGGTTTCAGTTTTGTTGCCAGAAAAAAAGGGGGAAACCCCTATTATTATTACATTTTGGTACTGGCAAAGGAGGCCTCATGAGAGAGGAATAAGATTATGAGTCGACCCCACAACGGGAATTTAAACTTGTGACCTGCAGATTGCGAAACGGGGTTGGCAATCATCAGGCGCGTGCAGCGCGTACCGACTTAAATTACATTTGACTGAACGGGTAATGGAATACTCAAGCGGACAATATGCCTCCCTCGCATATCAGTTCCTACATTATGAACGTAGTGTTTTGTTTCTTGACTCATCTCATCGCCTTCCTTCTCGTAGAGCAACATCTCCGCAGCATTGGTTGAACACGAGCAACACTCTGCACGGGACTTGGCATGCAGTGTCTCATCAGCAGAGCAGGGTCTGCTAGGACCAATAGATTGGTTGGAAGGAACTGGATTTATGTTTTACTTTATATTCAACTATTAAAAAAAAACATTATTTTACCAGGTAAGGCTCACTGATCTGTGTTGCTCTTTGTTTTAGAAGCGACCTGGCTACAAATGATAGCTCAACGAAGTGGCTTATCAAGTGGGCATTTATAGCAGCCAAATACTGGAAACGCGTGATGTTGATTCTAAATGTGGAAGGGAAAAAACGGAGGACCCCGGGGAAAAATCCACGCGACCACGGGGAGAGAGAGATAGATAGAGAGAGAGACACCGCAAACTCCAAATATACAGCAGCAGGCGTCAGGGTCGGGATTGAACCCATGTCCTCCTGTATACAAGGCGAGGTGGTTAACATCTCGCCACCGCGGCTCACATATATATGCATATAATAGACAACGTTTCGGACAATGGCCCTTCTTCACGGCACATAGAGATGGACCAGAGAAGTATGGCGAATAAAGAGAAGGGACATTGACCAAAACGTCTATTTTATATATAGCATGTTGTCTTATGAGGGTGGAGACGAAGGGTAGGATAAGCAACTTGGAGGTAGCGAATATGATGATGATGACGAGGTAGTGATGGGTGGGACACGTGTGAGGGCCACAGGGTGTGGAGGTTGTTTCTGATCCCGACATCTGTACGGGTGTTGTTTATATTCGCATCAACAACACCAACATTGGCGATCAGATACCTCATCCAAAACAAATTCCCCCGCACAGTTCAATCCATGACATCCCTGAACAACACGGCCCCACAGCAAAAGACAAAGATCCCCCGTGTAACCTAAACAGACTGTTGGGGCAAGTGCAATTAGCGAGCGCCTATGAAGGCTGGAACGGTACACGAGAGGGTGGGGTGTCCCCACCACGCCAGGCCTCCTTTGTCTCCCTCGTGGCGATGTTTTACACATCGTGCCAAGTTCTAAATTGAGGCTGAGTCGACCTAGGGGAAGGTCTAGGACCGGTTCAGACAATCGTCACCGGTGTTGGTGGCCTTGAGCAGGAATCGAACTTGGATCGCCGGGTTCGTAGTGCAGCGCGCTAACCGCTGCACCACCGCTCCCGACACTATACGGGCTCACTCGACAACCTAGCTCGCCACCCAGGGGCATGGCTCGCCACCCAGGGGCATGGCTCGCCACCCAGGGGCATGGCTCGCCACCCAGGGGCATGGCTCGCCACCCAGGGGCATGGCTCGCCACCCAGGGGCATGGCTCGCCACCCGGGGGCCTGGCTCGAGACTCGCGCGCCTGGCTCGCCACCCGGGGGCTTTTCTTTCCAGCTCGTCAGCTGCCAGCTCGACACGGGCACCCCCCCCCCCCCCCACAACATTCCACCGCGCGGGGCGTGGTGGAGACGGGGGGGGGGGCGCGTTTATTGAATTAAAAAATAATCACAAACAGCGCCGCCGCCTCACCCCAACGAGACTTTCGCAACCGGGTCAAACGGTGGTCGTGGTGGAGTTGGGGTGGCGGTGGGGGTGGTGGTGGTGGAGTTGGGGTAATGGTGGTGGAGTTGGGGTAGCGGTGGTGGAGTTGGGGTAGCGGTGGGGGTGGTGGTGGAGTTGGGGTGACGGTAGTGGAGTTGGGGTAGCGGTGCAGTTGGGGTGGTGGTGGTGGGGTCGTAGTGGTAGTGCTGGAGTTGGCGTGGTGGTGCAGTTGGCGTCGTGGTGGTGGAGTTGGGGTGGTGGTGGAGTTAGGATGGTGGTGGAGTTGGGGTGATGGTGGAGTTGGTGTGGTGGTGGAGTTGGGGTGATGGTGGAGTTGGGGTGGTGGTGGAGTTGGCGTCGTGGTGGGGGTGATGTTGGTGGTGGGGTTGAGGGTGGGGGTGGCGCGGGATCCCCTTTGTCTCCCTGTGACCCCTGTGTTCCACTTGCGTGCCCCCTTGACTCCCTCTGTGTACCCCCCTGTTGTAGGGGGACACCCTCACCCCCTGTCCCGCCATGTGCCCCTGATGCAGCTGGCGCGTGACGCCGCGAGACCCCCAATACATCCCCCCCCGTGCTGAGACCCCTATACCCCCCCCGTGCTGAGACCCCCTATACCCCCCCCGTGGTGAGACCCCCTATACCCCCCCGTGGTGGGACCCCCGTAACTCATCCCCAGTCGACCCCTCGGTTTACCGTGTGCCCCTTCATCACCAACTTGCCGTGCCGCTAGTTCTCCGGCGAGCATGGCGATCCACCACACTCGGAGACCCCCTCCCCTCTCCCACCCTGCCCCCCACAGTTAGAAAGGAGCCCCCCACCTCTCCCCCCCCCCCCTATCCCGCACCACCGAGACGCTGGCCGGTGTCCAATGTGATCCCCACTGCGCCCAAACAAAGAGAAGACCAACCTCCACCGGCCGCCACGGTCACAGAGGACGCCTGATAATCGACTGTCCCCACCCCAACCCCAGCCCCCTACTTCTGCCGAACTCCGCGACTCACTGCGGGTATCCCGGCACTCTGCCTCGACTCGATACACAACCCTGCTGCCAGGAACTGGCATCCCCACGACACTCACACTGGGTTACCCCGGCACTCACACTGGGTTACCCCGGCACTCACACTGGGTTACCCCGGGCACTCACACTGGGTTACCCCGGCACTCACACTGGGTTACCCCGGCACTCACACTGGGTTACCCCGGACACTCACGCTGGGTTACCCCGGCACTCACGTTGGGTTACCCCGGCACTCACGTTGGGTTACCCCGGCACTCACGTTGGGTTACCCCGGCACTCACACTGGGTTACCCCGGCACTCACACTGGGTTACCCCGGACACTCACGCTGGGTTACCCCGGCACTCACACTGGGTTACCCCGGCACTCACGTTGAGTTACCCCGGGCACTCACACTGGGTTACCCCGGACACTCACGTTGGGTTACCCCGGCACTCACGTTGGGTTACCCAGGGCACTCACACTGGGTTCCCCCGGCACTCACACTGGGTTACCCCGGACACTCACGCTGGGTTACCCCGGCACTCACACTGGGTTACCCCGGCACTCACGTTGAGTTACCCCGGGCACTCACACTGGGTTACCCCCGGCACTCACGTTGAGTTACCCCGGCACTCACACTGGGTTACCCCGGCACTCACACTGGGTTACCCCGGGCACTCACGTTGGGTTACCCCGGCACTCACGTTGGGTTACCCCGGCACTCACACTGGGTTACCCCGGCACTCACGTTGGGTTACCCCGGCACTCACACTGGGTTACCCCGGGCACCCACGTTGAGTTATCCCGGCACTCACACTGGGTTACCCCGGCACTCACACTGGGTTACCCTTGCACTCACACTGGGTTACCCCGGCACTCACACTGGGTTACCCAGGCACTCACGTTGAGTTACCCCGGGCACTCACGTTGGGTTACCCCGGCACTCACACTGGGTTACCCCGGCACTCACACTGGGTTACCCCGGCACTCACGTTGAGTTACCCCGGCACTCACACTGGGTTACCCCGGCACTCACACTGGGTTACCCCGGCACTCACACTGGGTTACCCCGGGCACTCACACTGGGTTACCCCGGCACTCACACTGGGTTACCCCGGGCACTCACACTGGGTTACCCCGGCACTCACACTGGGTTACCCCGGGCACTCACACTGGGTTACCCCGGCACTCACACTGGGTTACCCCGGCACTCACACTGGGTTACCCCGGCACTCACGTTGAGTTACCCCGGCACTCACACTGGGTTACCCCGGCACTCACACTGGGTTACCCCGGCACTCACGTTGAGTTACCCCGGCACTCACACTGGGTTACCCCGGCACTCACACTGGGTTACCCCGGCACTCACACTGGGTTACCCCGGGCACTCACACTGGGTTACCCCGGCACTCACACTGGGTTACCCCGGCACTCACACTGGGTTACCCCGGCACTCACACTGGGTTACCCCGGCACTCACGTTGAGTTACCCCGGCACTCACACTGGGTTACCCCGGCACTCACACTAGGTTACCCCGGCACTCACGTTGAGTTACCCCGGCACTCACGTTGAGTTACCCCGGCACTCACGTTGAGTATCGCAGTGCTCTGTGTGGGCTACCCCCGGGTACTCGTGGTGGGGAGACCCCCGGGTACTCGTGGGGAGACTGCCGGGTACTCGTGGTGGGGAGACTGCCGGGTACTCGTGGTGGGGAGACCCCCGGGTACTCGTGGTGGGGAGACCGCCGGGTACTCGTGGTGGGGAGACCACCGGGTACTCGTGGTGGGGAGACCGCCGGTACTCGTGGTGGGGAGACCCCCGGGTACTCGTGGTGGGGAGACCCCCGGGTACTCGTGGTGGGGAGACCCCCGGGTACTCGTGGTGGGGAGACCCCCGGGTACTCGTGGTGGGGAGACCCCCGGGTACTCGTGGTGGGGAGACCCCCGGGTACTCGTGGTGGGGAGACCCCCGGGTACTCGTGGTGGGGAGACCGCCGGGTACTCGTGGTGGGGAGACCGCCGGGTACTCGTGGTGGGGAGACCCCCGGGTACTCGTGGTGGGGAGACCCCCGGGTACTCGTGGTGGGGAGACCCCCGGGTACTCGTGGTGGGGAGACCGCCGGGTACTCGTGGTGGGGAGACCCCCGGGTACTCGTGGTGGGGAGACCGCCGGGTACTCGTGGTGGGGAGACCGCCGGGTACTCGTGGTGGGGAGACCCCCGGGTACTCGTGGTGGGGAGACCGCCGGGTACTCGTGGTGGGGAGACCCCCGGGTACTCGTGGTGGGGAGACCCCCGGGTACTCGTGGTGGGGAGACCCCCGGGTACTCGTGGTGGGGAGACCCCCGGGTACTCGTGGTGGGGAGACCCCCGGGTACTCGTGGTGGGGAGACCCCCGGGTACTCGTGGTGGGGAGACCCCCGGGTACTCACGCTGGGACTCGAGGAGGGACGCGAGCGGCCTCCCGGTGCGCGCCGCGAGGGCCGCGACCCCGCGGAGCCACAGCTCGGCGAGGCCGCAGAGCGCGGAGAGGGCGCGGCTCCTCCGCTTGGCGTCCCCGTACGCGTCCCACGCCACGCGAGAGCCCAGCTCCACCAGGGGCAGCTGGGACACGCGGGTCAGCGCGTCCCCCTACACGCAGAGGGGGTACGCACGGAGGGAGGGGGTACACGTTGAGAGGGGGACAGTTGTCGCGGCGGTCACAGGTAGGCGAAGGGAGTCCCGCGCCACGCGCGACCCCAGCTCCACCAGGGGCGGTCAGGACACGCGGGTCAGCGCGTTCCTCTGCACACAGAGGGGGTACGCGGAGGGTCGTAGAGAGGTCACAGGGGGTCAATGTCATCGTCGTCACCGGTGCTGGCCGATGCACGCGCGGGTGTCCGCAGGGGACTCAGACTCTGTGGTCAGCGGGGAGCTCACGGACGAGGCTGGCGAGGGGACACGTGCCAGGGGGTACCCCGTGGGGTGTACGAAGGGACGGGAGACACGCAGGGTGAACACGGGGACCCGGCAGCGGGGTCGCCAAGGGGGTTAGCCAGGGACATGGGGATCGATTTCATGAACGATAATGATTGATTATGAACGTTCTTGAATTAAAACTATATATTTTTTAAGACAAATTATGTTATGATTGCGATGATGAATATTGAATCGTGATGATGATTTTATGGTGATGACGATTCTTATTTAATGATGACAATTGATAATGGTGAGATTAATGTTGTTGATGATGGTGGTGGTGGAATTAATGTTGGTGATGATGGTGATGTTGGTGGAATTAATGTTGGTGATCTTGGTGATGATGTTGGTGATGTATGTTAGTAATGATGATGATGAGATTAATGTTGTTGATGATGATGGTGGTGGGATTAATGTTGGTGATGATGGTGGTGGTGGAATTAATGTTGGCGACAGTGATGATGATGATGGTGGTGGTGTTGGTGGGATTTACCTTCGGCTTAGAAGCTCCCTCCACCGGCATCACCGCACCTTCCGTGCTCGACTCCATGTACAACTTCTGCGAAGCACGACACAGAGAGAGAGGAGAGACAGAGAGAAAGGAAAGAGAAGGGAGAGAGGAGAGAGAAAGGTGGATGTTTGGAGGGAGCGAGGGGGGTGGGAGTGGGTTGGTAAACAACGAAGTTGAGAGAGTCTGGGATGGGTGAGGAGCCGGTGAGGAGCGGGTGAGGAGCAGGTGAGTGGTGGAGTCGCGTGAGATGTGGTTGCCATGACAACCGCTAAATATAATATGAACTTAATTAATAACCCCGTACAAAATAAACAACACATTTGTCGATAACACTGCGGCTTTAAAATGCAAAAGTACATAACAGACGACGTTTCGGGCAATGGCCCCTCTTCACGGCACACGGAAAGAGGCCACAGTGGTAGAAACATAATAAACTCGTCAACTCTCTACTCGTTCCACTCCTTTCTGTTCTCTCCATGTGCTGTGAAGCAGGACCATTGCTCGAAACGTCGCCTAATATATGTATTTTTTCCTCTAAGAGGCACACACAGACACACTGTTGTTGTTGACGAATGGTCAATATCTGCTGCTGCTGCTGTTGTTTGTGCATGACTGCCGACGCAGCAGCAACAGCAAAGTTGTGTCACGGGGACACTACTGGGAGGCACGGCGGGAGGAGCTGTACCCTGTCGTGTACTCTGGTCGTGTACCCTGGTTGTGTACCCTGACGTGTACTCTGGTCGTGTACCCTGTCGTGTACCCTGTCGTGTACCCTGACGTGTACCCAGTCGTGTACTCTGGACGTGTAGGTCGTGTACTCTGGTCGTGTACCCTGACGTGTACTCTGGTCGTGTACCCTGGACGTGTACTCTGGTCGTGTACCCTGACGTGTACCCTGACGTGTACCCTGTCGTGTACTCTGTCGTGTACCCTGGTCGTGTACCATGGACGTGTACCCTGGACGTGTACCCTGGACGTGTACTCTGTCGTGTACCCTGGACGTGTACCCTGACGTGTACCCTGACGTGTACTCTGGTCATGTACCCTGGACGTGTACCCTGGACGTGTACCCTGACAAATACCCTGTCGCGTACCCTGGACGTGTACCCTGACGTGTACCCTGGACGTGTATCCTGACGTGTACCCTGGACGTGTACCCTGACGTGTACCTACGGACGGTTGTTGAACGCGGACAGGGATCAAAGTGATGGATTCCAGAGGTGGGCGGCAATGCGGTGGTTGCTGGAGCGCTGTTGGAAGGGTGGACTAGACATTGTGTCAAAAACACAAGGGTGGACTAGACATTGTGTCAACAACACAAGGGTGGACTAGACATTGTGTCAACAACACAAGGGTGGACTAGACATTGTGTCAAAAACACAAGGGTGGACTTGACATTGTGTCAAAAACACAAGGGTGGACTAGACATTGTGTCAAAAACACAAGGGTGGACTAGACATTGTGTCAAAAACACAAGGGTGGACTTGACATTGTGTCAACAACACAAGGGTGGACTAGACATTGTGTCAAAAACACAAGGGTGGACTAGACATTGTGTCAACAACACAAGGGTGGACTAGACATTGTGTCAAAAACACAAGGGTGGACTAGACATTGTGTCAAAAACACAAGGGTGGACTTGACATTGTGTCAAAAACACATTGGTGGACTAGACATTGTGTCAAAAACACAAGGGTGGACTAGACATTGTGTCAAAAACACAAGGGTGGACTTGACATTGTGTCAAAAACACAAGGGTGGACTAGACATTGTGTCAAAAACACAAGGGTGGACTAGACATTGTGTAAAAAACACAAGGGTGGACTAGACATTGTGTCAAAAACACAAGGGTGGACTTGACATTGTGTCAAAAACACAAGGGTGGACTAGACATTGTGTAAAAAACACAAGGGTGGACTAGACATTGTTTCAAAAACACAAGGGTGGACTAGACATTGTGTCAAAAACACAAGGGTGGACTTGACATTGTGTCAAAACACAAGGGTGGACTAGACATTGTGTCAAAAACACAAGGGTGGACTAGACATTGTGTAAAAAACACAAGGGTGGACTAGACATTGTGTCAAAAACACAAGGGTGGACTTGACATTGTGTCAAAACACAAGGGTGGACTAGACATTGTGTCAAAAACACAAGGGTGGACTAGACATTGTGTCAAAAACACAAGGGTGGACTTGACATTGTGTCAAAAACACATTGGTGGACTAGACATTGTGTCAAAAACACATTGGTGGACTAGACATTGTGTCAAAAACACATTGGTGGACTTGACATTGTGTCAAAAACACAAGGGTGGACTTGACATTGTGTCAAAAACACAAGGGTGGACTAGACATTGTGTCAAAAACACAAGGGTGGACTAGACATTGTGTAAAAAACACAAGGGTGGACTAGACATTGTGTCAAAAACACAAGGGTGGACTTGACATTGTGTCAAAAACACAAGGGTGGACTAGACATTGTGTAAAAAACACAAGGGTGGACTAGACATTGTTTCAAAAACACAAGGGTGGACTAGACATTGTGTCAAAAACACAAGGGTGGACTTGACATTGTGTCAAAACACAAGGGTGGACTAGACATTGTGTCAAAAACACAAGGGTGGACTAGACATTGTGTAAAAAACACAAGGGTGGACTAGACATTGTGTCAAAAACACAAGGGTGGACTTGACATTGTGTCAAAACACAAGGGTGGACTAGACATTGTGTCAAAAACACAAGGGTGGACTAGACATTGTGTCAAAAACACAAGGGTGGACTTGACATTGTGTCAAAAACACATTGGTGGACTAGACATTGTGTCAAAAACACATTGGTGGACTAGACATTGTGTCAAAAACACATTGGTGGACTTGACATTGTGTCAAAAACACATTGGTGGACTTGACATTGTGTCAAAAACACAAGGGTGGACTAGACATTGTGTCACAAACACAAGGGTGGACTAGACATTGCGTCAAAAACACAAGGGTGGACTAGACATTGTGTAAAAAACACAAGGGTGGACTAGACATTGTGTCAAAAACACAAGGGTGGACTAGACATTGTGTCAAAAACACAAGGGTGGACTAGACATTGTGTCAAAAACACAAGGGTGGACTAGACATTGTGTCAAAAACACAAGGGTGGACTAGACATTGTGTCAAAAACACAAGGGTGGACTTGACATTGTGTCAAAACACAAGGGTGGACTAGACATTGTGTCAAAAACACAAGGGTGGACTAGACATTGTGTCAAAAACACAAGGGTGGACTTGACATTGTGTCAAAAACACATTGGTGGACTAGACATTGTGTCAAAAACACATTGGTGGACTAGACATTGTGTCAAAAACACATTGGTGGACTTGACATTGTGTCAAAAACACAAGGGTGGACTAGACATTGTGTCAAAAACACAAGGGTGGACTTGACATTGTGTCAAAACACAAGGGTGGACTAGACATTGTGTCAAAAACACAAGGGTGGACTAGACATTGTGTCACAAACACAAGGGTGGACTAGACATTGTGTCACAAACACAAGGGTGGACTAGACATTGTGTCAAAAACACAAGGGTGGACTAGACATTGTGTAAAAAACACAAGGGTGGACTAGACATTGTGTCAAAACACAAGGGTGGACTTGACATTGTGTCAAAAACACAAGGGTGGACTAGACATTGTGTCAAAAACACAAGGGTGGACTAGACATTGTGTCAAAAACACAAGGGTGGACTAGACATTGTGTCAAAAACACAAGGGTGGACTTGACATTGTGTCAAACACAAGGGTGGACTAGACATTGTGTCAAAAACACAAGGGTGGACTAGACATTGTGTCAAAAACACAAGGGTGGACTAGACATTGTGTCAAAAACACAAGGGTGGACTTGACATTGTGTCAAAACACAAGGGTGGACTAGACATTGTGTCAAAAACACATTGGTGGACTTGACATTGTGTCAAAAACACAAGGGTGGACTAGACATTGTGTCAAAAACACAAGGGTGGACTTGACATTGTGTCAAAACACAAGGGTGGACTAGACATTGTGTCAAAAACACAAGGGTGGACTAGACATTGTGTCACAAACACAAGGGTGGACTAGACATTGTGTCACAAACACAAGGGTGGACTAGACATTGTGTCAAAAACACAAGGGTGGACTAGACATTGTGTAAAAAACACAAGGGTGGACTAGACATTGTGTCAAAACACAAGGGTGGACTTGACATTGTGTCAAAAACACAAGGGTGGACTAGACATTGTGTCAAAAACACAAGGGTGGACTAGACATTGTGTCAAAAACACAAGGGTGGACTAGACATTGTGTCAAAAACACAAGGGTGGACTTGACATTGTGTCAAACACAAGGGTGGACTAGACATTGTGTCAAAAACACAAGGGTGGACTAGACATTGTGTCAAAAACACAAGGGTGGACTAGACATTGTGTCAAAAACACAAGGGTGGACTTGACATTGTGTCAAAACACAAGGGTGGACTAGACATTGTGTCAAAAACACAAGGGTGGACTTGACATTGTTTCAAAACACAAACACATTGGGATGTGTCCAGAGAATAAAGCGTTGAATCAAAATCAGCGGTTTGTTATCCGAGTAAGTAACCCGTTGAGGATTGGCAGCTCTCTTTCGAGGGTGACTCTGCCAGCGAGTCAACAACCAAGATATAAAATACATATTTGTAAATATACTAGGTAAATACAGCCAAACGATCTCCCAAAACAATCGCTCACAATTCGCATTTGAAATGTGTTTCGACCTCAATCGTGTTTGTCCGTCTTAAGCGAGTTACACAGTGACGGCAGAGAGAGAGGGAGACGCCACCGCAGAGGGAGACGCCACCGCCGACACGCGGTGCTGTCAAAACCTTTGGGGCAGCAGCAACACGCACGGAACGCATTTTGAACCAAGGTCCGTACGGGATCTAGGAATCGTAAACAAACAAGCGGACACGTCGTCGCAAGATTTATCATCTCTCTCTCTCCGTACGTGCAGCGTGTGTGTGTGTTTGTTTGTTTGTTTT